CCTGGTGTTCCAGCTGGATCCATCCCTGGTGTTCCCAGGCAGATCCCTGGTTCCCAGCTGGCTCAATCCCTGGTGTTCCCGGTGAGTTCCGTTTGTCCCTGTCCCTGCCCTGCAGCAGTGGCTGCTGACTCCCAGTGGCCCCGGGCTCTCACTGCACTGGAGCCCGGGCAGCAGAGCTGCCTTTAGCTCTGATCTGTGCTGCTATTAGCTGTGCCAGCTCAAAGGCTGGAGCTGTACCTGCGGTGCCAGCTCAAAGGCTGGAGCTGTACCTGCGGTGCCAGCAGTGCTCTCCAGACCCAAACCATTCATTCCCTCCTGCCACCAAGGCACCTCCGAACTGCTTCTGCCTCTGAATTGTGAGCTGCTTTTGTGCAGCAATCCTTGGGCTTCCCACGGTCTGCAGGAGAGACCCAGCACAGCAGCCTGCCCAGGCTAAATTGCTGCCACCTTCAGTTGGGGCATGGACAATGCCAGAGCAGAGTGTGGGGTGTCAGTGTGGGCATGGACAATGCCAGAGCAGAGTGTGGGGTGTCAGTGTGGGGATGGACAGTGCCCAGAGCAGAGTGTGGGTGTCAGTGTGGGCATGGACAGTGCCCAGAGCAGAGTGTGGGGTGTCAGTGTGGGCATGGACAATGCCAGAGCAGAGTGTGGGGTGTCAGTGTGGGCATGGACAGTGCCCAGAGCAGAGTGTGGGGTGTCAGTGTGGGCATGGACAGTGCCCAGAGCAGAGTGTGGGGTGTCACTTTGGCCATGAGCAATGAATGCCCAGAGCAGAGCATAGTGCTGGGGTGTGCCTCCTTGTGGGGTGTCAGTGTGGGCATGGACAATGCCCAGAGCAGAGCAGAGTGCTGGGGTGTTTGTTCCTCCCGTGTGACAAACACCAGGGCAGGAGGGAGCAGCCCCAGGTGGTGCCAGGGGAGGTCTGGGTTGGGTGTTGGGGAAGATCCCTGCCCCAAAGGTGTGTCAGTGTGGGCAGGGATACTGGACTCAGTCTCTGGACTGTTGGGTCTGGGTTGGGTGTTGGGGAAGATCCCTGCCTGAAACGGGTGTCAGCCTGGGGCAGGGAGTGCTGGAGGCTCGTGTGGGGCTGGCAGGGCTGGGCTGGGCTGCACTCAGGTGGTGGCAGAAACCAGAGTGTGTTTCTGCTGTCCTGGCAGATCAGGTGGCTGCCATCAGGTGTCTGGGGAGATCTCTTTCCCTTCTCTCCCTGGGTGTTTGCTTTGTTCTCTGTGTTCTGCTGTGGGGTGTTCTCAGTGCTCTGTGGGCCACAATGACATAAGGAGAGCTAGCCTGGATGTTGAAGGCACTTCAGAACCCAGTAATGTTCATATTTCTGCCCATGAGCTGCAGCCTGGTTCAGAGCTGCTTCTCAACTCTCCAATTCATGGCTCTGTGTGCTGTGGGGGTGGCTGTAGTTGTTCAGCTTTATTTCTGTCTTCACCCCTCTTTATGTATTTAGCAGCAGAAGCGATGTGTTGAATTTCAGGAAGAAAAACGTTGTTGAATTTCCTTCATTTGATTTAAATCATGTGGGAGCCCTCAGAGATGATTACACTCATTTAGTAAATCCTTGCTCCTGCCTGGTTCTGTGCCCTGGTACAGGCAGTGCTGATGTGGGGCAGTTTCTCACCCGGGTTATCTCCTCGGGTGCTCTCTGGAATGGGGGTTAGGGCTGGAATGATGCAGCAGCGTGCTGCTGCTCCCCTGGCAGGCCTGCACAGGAGGGGTTGTTCCTGGCTGGGTTATCCAGGGAGCTGCCCGGAGCTCGGGGAGGCACAGCTGAGGCTGGAGAGCCTGCTGGCTGGGAAGTGTCCAGGAGGGAATGAGCTTTGCTGAAGGTTATGGTGGGGTCCCCATCCCTGGAGGTGTGCAGGGAAGGGCTGGAGGTGGCACCCAGAGCTCTGGGCAGGGGACACGGGGGCATTGGGCACAGGAGAGCTCCTGCAGCCCCAGGGACCCCAGGGCTCCATCGTGCTCTTACTTCAGTGCCTCAGGCATGGTTGGCTGCTGATCCTCTGCAGAGCATCACACTGGGATAAAGGCAGGGCTGGGGGAATGCACAACTTATGCAAAACTTGGCATTTGGCTTTCTTTGAAGGAAATTTTGCATGGGTAAACTCTAAAGGAGTCTTAGCTCTTCTTCTGGTGTGATTTTTGTGGAATATATTTGTGCTGTAGAATCCCGGGATGGTTTGGGTGGAGGGGACCTTAAATTCCATCCCGTACCACCCTTGCCATGGGATAAATGAATCCCAGAATGGTTTGAGTTTGGAGGGACCCTAAATCCCACCAGTGCCACCCCTGCCATGGCAGGGACACCTCCCACTGTCCCAGGTGGATCCAGCCTGGCCCTGGGCACTGCCAGGGATCCAGGGGCAGCCCCAGCTGCTCTGGCAATTCCAGCCCAGCCCCTGCCCACCCTCCCAGCCAGCAATTCCTTGCCCAGATCCCAGCCCAGTCTGCCCTTTTCCTGTGTCCTGTCCCTGCAGGCCTTGGCCCCAGTCCCTAGCTGAACCAGTCTGGGGGCCCTGGGCAGGGTCCAGTGGTGTGCCAAGGGCTGATCAGTTCAAATGCCCACGCTGGGCTGGGGCGTTGCTGGCTCTGCTGGCATTGCAGCTGGCTGCTCCAGAGCTGGGTGCTGGGATTGCTCCCTGGTTTCAGGGCTCTTGGCTCGTTGGGTGCTGCTTTTCCAGGGCTGGTGCCTTCCTGGGGGATCAGGATTGGTGGTGGGGTTTCCTTTCACATGCAGTCTCTGGGTGTGATGCTGCAGGTGTTTTCTGTGGTGCAGTGGAGAATTCCTGACTAATTACAAATATATTCCTTTCTCTTCCTATCTCTCTTCATCTCCCTTGGACCACCCACCCCCAAACCAAACTCCTTCCTCTGCCAGCCCCAGGAGCACTGCAGGCACTTCTGGAGTTTAGGGGCTTTTGGGGAAGAAATGGTGACAAACTGAGGTGAAAATGGGAATTGGCAAACCTGGCTGGAGCTGGAGTGTTCTGTAGTATTCTCTGGCATCCTGTGTTTCTCCTTCCTTACACAAGGAAGAAGGGTATTCCTGTTACATCTGTGAGGGGCGTGCTGCAAACCCTCTGATGTGATAAAGTGTTTATTCCAGCTCTGGGTTCACCTGCTCGTCCAGCTGCAGAGAGAGCCCTTGGCTTGTGGGTGTTCTCTGTGTTTGTCTCTCACCACGTGTGGGCAGAGATCTCTCAGTGTCTGTCCTGTTCCCTGGCATTTCTGAGTCAGCATTTCTTGTCTCAGTTTGCACACTGGGGGAGCCTTCTGTCAGGCTCTGAGAATTCCCTACAAATCCATTTCCCACATTTCCCCCTCTCTCTTGAATGGAAAAAGAATCCATTTCCCACACCTGGTGGGGAGAAGGTGTTCCAGCTGCTTTTCCAGGCAGGAATCCCATTCCACTTCAATTCCTGCCCTCAAAGTATGGAGATATTGCTACATCATAATAGAGAAATCAACCTGGGCTTGTTCGAAGATATTTGCATAAGATGCCTTTTAAAATATAGTTTAAATCATTAATATAAGTAAAATCGGGTCTTAATGAAATAATAAATAAGCATGAAAATAAATTTAAAATAAAGTAAACATTAATATAAATAAACATTAAAATAAACATGAAAATAAGCATTAAAAATAAATTTAAGACAGTACTGGGAAGCCCAGCAAGGCCTGGCTGTGAGGCAGGCAGGGTGACGCCAGGAGCTGACCATGGTGCTGAATTCGGGGTTTATTTATTATACAGCGGGCATTACATGGAATGGGGAGTGGGAGGTCTGTGTCCCCAGAGGGACTGGCTGTGTGCACGCAGTGCTGTGAGCTGTGGGGCTGAAGTGGGCAGGGGGCTGCCTGCTGCAGTGGGTGTGAGTCCTGAGGGGCTGGAGCCCAGCTCTCCTCCTGGGGATGGCCTGGCTATTCCATGTATTCCGTGTATTCCATTGTCCCTGGGGCTGAGCACACACTGAAGTACACTAATCTGTGTTTTTAACTGGCAAATGATCCCTTTTAGCCCATTGTCAGCCCTTCCCCTGCCCTGCTTGGAGGGGGGAGCACCAGCAGGGCCCAGGAGTGCAGGAGCACTGGGGTGTTCCTGGGAGCACTGGGCTATCCCTGGGGTGTCTCTGAGGTCAGCCATCCCTGGGGCATCCCTGGGAGCAAAGGGGTGTCCGTGGAAGCAGTGAGGTGTCCCTGGGGTCAGTGTGGTGTCCCTAGGATCAGCCATCCCTGGGGTGTCCCTGGGGTGTCCCTGGGGGCAGGGGCTGTCCCTGGGTGTCCCTAGGATCAGCCATCCCTGGGTGTCCCTGGGATCAGCCACCGCTCAGGAGAGTCAGCCCTGGGCTGTGGGGAGGAGTGTGAGGCTCACACAGCCGCCTGTGCCCACAGCTGTCAGCTGCAGGCAGGCCTGGGGACCCTTTAATTTTGGTTACAATGCATTATGTACTTTTCTTTGCTGAGCATCTTCATACAGCAGAACCAATCTATACCTTGACTTTTACCTATAGCCTATCATAACTCCTGTAATTACCATATCCATGTCACTATTCTCCAGTCACTAAATGTTAGTACATTCCAGTTTAAGCTAGAAGTTGTTTTTCAGTTTTCTTGCAGTGCAGAATTCTGAGACCCTTTTTCTGCTTGCAACATCTGCTGACTTGTTTGCCTGTGCTATCTTTCTGCTTGGTAAAAACATCTTCTTGTTTGGGGTGGGTTTATCCTTTGCTCTAAGTGATAAAACCCCGTTCTAACTAACACACCCTTTGTCTCCTTGGTTATCCAGTGAGACTGGCTCAGCAATTCTTTTCTTCTGTATCAAAACTTGCTTCCATCTCTATGCCTTTTTCAGATTCTGCATTCAGAAATCTGCTAAGCATCCATATCTGTGAGACTTTCTTGTCCCACTTTCATCCTTGCTCACAATGATGATGATGATGATGATGACGATGATGATGATGATGATGATGGAGCAGTGTTTCCTCCCCCAGGAGCCGTGGTTCTGGCTGGCAGCAGAGCTGGGGAGCAGCTGCTCCTGGGACACCAAGCTGGGCCTGAGCTGTGCCAGGAGGGAGCTGTCGGAGCTGCCCACGCTGGAGGAAGGGCTGCTGTCCTCAGCAGAGGCTTCTGGAGCTCCAGCCTCACCCCTGGGTATGTCCAAAGGGATTGCTGCACAATGGATCTTTCACTGCTCAGGCAGTCCCAGCCTGCATTTGACCTTCCTTCAGTGAGACATGAGGTTTGTGGAGTGTGTTTGGGGTGATTTTGTCATCAAAGCCCCACTCAAGATGAGCTGCAGGGTTTGTGTGCCTTCCCTGGATCCTCTGACATGAACAGGGTCCTTTTGTGCAGGTAAAGCTGTGCTTTGTTTTCCTGTGAATTCAGAACGAGCCTGAGTGCAGCTGCCACCCCTGGCAGTGTCCAGGGCCTCTGGCAGGTGTCCATGGCAGGGGCAGGAATGGATTATCTCTGAAATAGCTTTAAATTCCCCTCCACCCCAGCCAGTCCATGGTTCCTCACTGCTGCCCCTGGTTTGGTGCAGTTTCTGTTCTGCTGCTGGGAATTGCAGTGCTAACATTCCAGCCAAGGCCACTGCTCCTTCCCATCCCAGCAGTCAGCCAGAGAAGGCTTGAGAAGCACCAGCATTTATTGTTTCACCTTTGTGCTTCCTTGCTTCCATTCATTTCCAGGTGGAGCCAGAGCCCCCTGGTCAAACACAGCCTGGAAATGCAGTTTCTCAGCCCAGGGGTTCTTTTTGCATTGATCCCTGTGCAGATCCAGGGTCCCTGCCCATGAGGATATTCCCTTTTTGACTCACCTTTCCAGGGAGAGCCTGCTGGTGAATGGAGGTGCCTGTCACTGCACAGTGGTGTTTCTTCACAAGCACACACAATTCCTGAGGCAGAAGACATAATTGTGGTATTTTCTGTTTTGTGCTTGCAGTTAAGTGCACCTTGAGCTGTGCAGTTTGCCATTCCCTGCCTGTGTGCAGCTGCTTTGGGGTTTTGTTTGGAGTTAAACACCACTTGGAGGGCATGGAGTTAAAACTGCCTTGGGAATTTCTTCACAGCAGCTCCTGAGGGGTTTATGAATTTGACTTTTATTTTTTAATGCAAAGGTTTTGGTCGTTTCCATCAGTTTTTGAGATGATTTTGCTCCATCCTTGGTGAAGGAGCCTGCATGAGGAGAAGGAATATCTTGGATGGATTCTGGTTCATCCCAAACCCTCGAGGCTCAGTCCCTGCCACTGTGGGTGTCACCCTGGTGGCTGTCCCTGGTGTCTGTAACACTTACTGCAAAGATTAAATTGCCCTTTGGTAACTTGTGGTTCAGAAGGTTCCTGTTTGCCCTCCTGCCAGGTCTGTTTTACACAACCCAGGGCAGGTGGAGAGGGGAGAGAAGAGAGGGAGCACAGCACAGGCTGGCTTCACTCACAGCACCAGGGAGCTGCTGCCTGCTGAGCATTTGCAGCCCCTGGGAGATGTTTTGGAAGGGATTTCTCCTTCATGGAATGGAAGCCATCCTGGGCTGCCTCAGAGCTGGGTCTGCAGGCAGCGTGGTGGTTAAAAGCTGTGTGTGCATCACAGGCACTTGGTGGAGAGTGAATAAATCCCATTTCTGTAGGAAAGGAGGTTCAGAGCTCAGGAAGCTCTGAACACGGAGGGAGGACACGGAGGGTTGGCTGTGCCTTGTCCCTGCCATCCTCTGGGCAGCATTCCTGTGGTTCAGGTGCCTTAGAGCCCTTTTCCCCACTGTTGTTATTTGCAGAACTGGAAGCCATTTAATCAAGGAAAACTTCTTGATATTTGTACAGCTTTGTGTTTGCAGTGCAGCTGGAATTAAGGAGCAGGCAAAGGCTCTGTGGTGTGCTAAAAGCTGTGAGAAGCCTCTCCTGTGAGTTTGATCTGCTGCTCTCTGGGGATGGGCTGCAGGCTCTGTGTGTGCTCTGAATTGCCAGGTACAGGAGCAGAGCTGGGAGGGAAGGAAGCCATAGTGCAGTACTCACTTACTTCTTCTTCTCCTCCTCACAAAGTGTCTTGGATTTCGTGTCAGGAGGGGAGGAGTGACAGTGACAGTTGTACTGAAGTGCTCCTGCTGCTCTGTGGAACAGCTTGACAGAGCCGAGGCTTTGTTTTTGTTTTGCCTTCCTTTTTTATCCCCCAAATGGCAGCTTGACTGTGGCATTCAGCTTGTCAGCAGGCTGGGGGAACGAGCCACAGGCCCACTCTGCCTGCTCGCTGAGCTGCTCTGAGCAGGCTTTTGGCCTTCAGAGTGACAGCAGGAAAAATCCCAGATTTGACACCAGGAGCTCAGGGGGAGCAGCACTGACGTCACTGCCTGCTTCCAGCCTGGGCTGCTGCTGCAGGCCTGGCCCTGGCTGAGCACAGCCACCTGAGCCCTCCTGGGCATCCCAGGTGTGCCCCAGGAACCCTCCTGGGCATCCCAGGTGTGCCCCAGGAACCCTCCTGGGCATCCCAGGTGTGCCCTAGGGACTGTCCTGGGCATCCCAGGTGTGCCCCAGGGACTGTCCTGGGCATCCCAGGTGTGCCCCAGGGACTGTCCTGGGCATCCCAGGTGTGCCCCAGGGACTGTCCTGGGCATCCCAGGTGTGCCCCAGGGACTGTCCTGGGCATCCCAGGTGTGCCCCAGGGACTGTCCTGGGCATCCCAGGTGTGCCCCAGGGACTGTCCTGGGCATCCCAGGTGTGCCCCAGGGACTGTCCTGGGCATCCCAGGTGTGCCCCAGGGACTGTCCTGGGCATCCCAGGTGTGCCCCAGGGACTGTCCTGGGCATCCCAGGTGTGCCCCAGGGACTGTCCTGGGCATCCCAGGTGTGCCCCAGGGACTGTCCTGGGCATCCCAGGTGTGCCCCAGGGACTGTCCTGGGCATCCCAGGTGTGCCCCAGGGACTGTCCTGGGCATCCCAGGTGTGCCCCAGGGACTGTCCTGGGCATCCCAGGTGTGCCCCAGGGACTGTCCTGGGCATCCCAGGTGTGCCCCAGGGACTGTCCTGGGCATCCCAGGTGTGCCCCAGGGACTGTCCTGGGCATCCCAGGTGTGCCCCAGGGACTGTCCTGGGCATCCCAGGTGTGCCCCAGGGACTGTCCTGGGCATCCCAGGTGTGCCCCAGGGACTGTCCTGGGCATCCCAGGTGTGCCCCAGGGACTGTCCTGGGCATCCCAGGTGTGCCCCAGGGACTGTCCTGGGCATCCCAGGTGTGCCCCAGGGACTGTCCTGGGCATCCCAGGTGTGCCCCAGGGACTGTCCTGGGCATCCCAGGTGTGCCCCAGGGACTGTCCTGGGCATCCCAGGTGTGCCCCAGGGACTGTCCTGGGCATCCCAGGTGTGCCCCAGGGACTGTCCTGGGCATCCCAGGTGTGCCCCAGGGACTGTCCTGGGCATCCCAGGTGTGCCCCAGGGACTGTCCTGGGCATCCCAGGTGTGCCCCAGGATCCACCCTGAGCATCCCAGGTGTGCCCCAGGGACTGTCCTGGGCATCCCAGGTGTGCCCCAGGATCCACCCTGAGCATCCCAGGTGTGCCCCAGGGACTGTCCTGGGCATCCCAGGTGTGCCCCAGGATCCACCCTGAGCATCCCAGGTGTGCCCCAGGGACTGTCCTGGGCATCCCAGGTGTGCCCCAGGAACCCTCCTGGGCATCCCAAGTGTGCTCCAGGATCCCTCCTGATCTTCCCAAATGTGCCCCAGATCTACCCTGAGCATCCTAAATGTGCCAGCAGGAACTGTCCTGAGCATCCCCAATATGCCCCAGGATCCCTCCTGAGCATCCCCAATGTGCCTGCCCCAGATCCACCCTGAGCACCCCAGATGTGCTCCAGGATCCCTCCTGAACCCCCCAGCTGTGCCCTCCCTGTGCCCTCTGGTGAGGGTCTTTGCCCTGAGGTTTTTGTTGCTTGGCCAATCCCTGCCTCACCCTTGAGCCTCTCAGGAGGGCTTTGGGGTTTCTGGAGCTCCCTGCAGGGCAGGGCAGGGCAGGGCAGGGATGGCTCCTGAAGGGGCTCGGTGCTGTACTGTCCTGGGCATCCCAGGTGTGCCCCAGGAACTGTCCTGGGCATCCCAGGTGTGCCCCAGGAACTGTCCTGGGCATCCCAGGTGTGCCCCAGGAACCCTCCTGGGCATCCCAAGTGTGCTCCAGGATCCCTCCTGATCTTCCCAAATGTGCCCCAGATCTACCCTGAGCATCCTAAATGTGCCAGCAGGAACTGTCCTGAGCATCCCCAATGTGCCTGCCCCAGGATCCCTCCTGGGCATCCCAAATGTGCCTCAGATCCACCCTGGGCATCCCTGACATGCCCCCAGGGTCTCTCCTGAGCCCCCCAGCTGTGCCCTCCCTGTGTCCTCTGCTGAGGGTCTTTGCCCCGAGGTTTTTGTTGCTTGGCCAATCCCTGCCTCACCCTTGAGCCTCTCAGGAGGGCTTTGGGGTTTCTGGAGCTCCCTGCAGGGCAGGGCAGGGCAGGGCAGGGATGGCTCCTGAAGGGGCTCGGTGCTGTGGAGTTTCCTGCTCATGGGGGATGTTCACTCACTTTTTCATCTCTTTGGGCTTCTTCAGACAAATGTCGAGTGGCACTTAGGTGTTTGTGGGTATAACAGAGCCTGCAAGCACTGCTCATGGGGGATGTTCACTCACTTTTTCATCTCTTTGGGCTTCTTCAGACAAATGTCGAGTGGCACTTAGGGTATAACAGAGCCTGGAAGCACCCATTTATCAGCCAAATGTTGTGATTTATGGGCTCTGTGTATGTGTCTGTATATGCACATTTACTTTATTAATCTATGTACACAAAAGATTAGCAACAGCTGCTTTTGACAGCTTTGTTTCCTAATTATTTACTGCTCCCTCCCTTAGTCCTCTTTGTTTCTTCATTTCCAAAGCACACCCAGATTTTTTGTGTGTGGAAAAAGCTTTTCTTTAATCACTCCTGCTTTTCAATTTAGCTTGAAAATACATTTTCATTCAAAGTGGAGAAGTTAAGCTGAAATCAGAAAAGCTTGTCTTCCTCCTCTCTTGCATGACTAAAAATAAGGTGCCAGTTCTGCCACATGAAATGTGTCATGATGGGAGCTGACAAGTCTGATTTGATAACTGCAATTAATATTATTTGTTCACTAATGCCATGTTAAATAGAAAACAAGATTTGGGAGGGGGAAAGTCCATCTAACAGAGCTGAGAGAGTTCAGATTCCAGCTTGCTTAATGTTTCTTAAAAAACACTGCTTTGCATGCTTGATGCAGTTCTGTATGCAAATGAATCTGCTCAGCATTCCCAAGTGTAACAGTGAGAAATTCCTGGAGTGAACGTGTGCTGGGTGGGCCAAATGCACTGGAAATCCTGTGTGCTCCCAGTTAATTGTTGGGAATTGGGAATGTAAATCAGGCTCTGTCAGTGCCAGCCCTGAGCAAACCCCTCTGATCTCTGGCTGTATGGGAGGGATGTGGGGGACATCACAGGGATCAGCTCAGACTCCTGTTCCTGATTTTAAATCAGGATTCAGAGTTACTAAATCCTGTCACTGCCCTGATACCATCCCTGCCCCAATCCTCACTGCCCCAATTTCAATCCCATCTCTGCCTCAATTCCCCAATCCCTCACTATCCTAGTCCCATCCCTGCCCCAATCCCAATCCCTCACTGCCCCAATTCCCCAATCTCTCACTATCGTAGTCCCACCCCTGCCCCAATCCCTTCGCTGCCCCAGTCCCAATTCCTCACTGCCCCAACGCCATCCCTGCCCCAATGCCAGTCTCATCCCTGCCCCAGCCCCTCACTGCCCCACCGCCATCCCTGCCCCAATGCCGGTCTCATCCCTGCCCAATCCCCTCCCTGCCCCATCCCTCCCTGCCCCAATCCCTTCGCTGCCCCAGTCCCAATTCCTCACTGCCCCACCGCCATCCCTGCCCCAATGCCGGTCTCATCCCTGCCCAATCCCCTCCCTGCCCCATCCCTCCCTGCCCCAATCCCTTCGCTGCCCCAGTCCCAATTCCTCACTGCCCCACCGCCATCCCTGCCCCAATGCCGGTCTCATCCCTGCCCAATCCCCTCCCTGCCCCATCCCTCCCTGCCCCAATCCCTTCGCTGCCCCAGTCCCAATTCCTCACTGCCCCACCGCCATCCCTGCCCCAATGCCGGTCTCATCCCTGCCCAATCCCCTCCCTGCCCCATCCCTCCCTGCCCCAATCCCATCCCAGCCCCAATCCCCACTGCCCCATCCCTCCCTGCCCCATCCCTCCGTGCCCCGATCCCGCTGTTCCCCTCAGGGCTGCCCCCGTAAGCCCCTCTGGGTGTGCTGTGTGTGGAGCAGGCCCTGAGAGCTGCTGTGTTACAAAGCAGTTTGGCTCCTTCCCTCCTTGGCTCTGCTCCCCTGTGCTGCTGTGTGCTCCTGTCCTTTCTCACACTCTGACACAGTGTGAGAAAGGACATTCTGAGTGTGTCAGAATTCACGTTGCCCTCCCGCTCTGGGCTGAGCCCTCTGGAACTCCTGCTGCTGTCACACTGCTCAGGAGCAGCTGTTTACTCCTATTTCTTTAAGATACATCTCATTTCCTTTCTCTAAGCTTCCAAAAAAGCGTTTAAATAATATTTGGTATTGCAAATTCAGTTATTCTATCTGGGTAATTATCCTCTCACTACCTAGAGTTCTAAAGTAATTAAAAAATGTTGATTGGAAGTATTAAATTAAAAATTAATGAGCAAGGTTGCCTTGTGGTTGGCTGTCCCTGGTCAGGTGATGCAGTGTGGCTGGAGAAGCCTCAGGTTGGAGCTGCTGGAATGAAAACTGGATTTTTTGTGTGTAATGATCATTTTTCTGATGTGATTGTGTTCCTCTAAGTGCTGCAGACTGTGGCTTGTCTGAGTAGTTGGAAACTAATGAGCCTAAATTAAAATAGTGGCATTTCTGGGTTAGAAAGTCACTCCCTTGACCACAAATAGCTCTTTCCTTTTAAAAATAAAAGCTTGCTTAGAATACTGGAAGTATTGTTTTGCACCCCTCAGACATGTCTGTAGTTATTTACACTTCTCAGACACCAGCTTAGAGTTAAAAAAAGGAGAACCCCCCCAAACATACAGTTATATCTAAATCCCACAGATAATTCCATATATATTAGAGTTGTTTTACTCTCAGGGTATAAACAATTTCCATTTGTTTTGTAAGTAATGAACTGGAAAAAACCACCAAGTACCCCAAAGAGCAGAGAAATGCAGGATAGAAACTAAAATTGCTGCAGCAATCATCACTGTCTGCTGGGTTTGATTATTGCTTGAAGCTGGATCCCTCAGGAAAACAATGGCACACAGCCTTTGCTGGAAGCAGCTTAGGGAAAAGCAGAGTAGGGAAGGAGCTGTGGGATGCTTGGGCTGCAGAGCGAAAGGTGGTGGGGACAAATCCCTGTGGGATCCCCCCTGGCAGTCAGGGAGGGGCTGCCTGGGCTGAGCAGGCTGGGCATGGCCCAGGAGGAGATTGGGATGAGTTTGGGGTGAGTTTGGGATGGCAGTGCCAGGGTGAGTGGCTGCAGACCTGGCTTTGGTGTGGGCTGAGAAAGCTGAGTTTAGTCCTGGAGGGAGGAGGCTCCGGGGTCTGGGGTGGGATCCCCTCCCCTCCCTGCAGCTGGGCTGTGGGGCTGGGGTCTCTGGGGATCTTTGGGGGTGTGCAGCTGGGATCTTTGGGATGTGGGGCTGGGGTCTCTGGGGATGTAGGACTGCGATCTTTGGGGATGTAGGACTGGGATCATTGGGAATGTGCAGCCGGGATCTTTGGGGATGTAGGACTGGGATCTTTGGGATGTGGGGCTGGGGTCTCTGGGGATGTAGGACTGGGATCTTTGGGGATGTCATGCTGGAATCATTGGGAATGTGCAGCCGGTATCTTTGGGGATATGGGGGGCTGGTATCATTGGGATTGTGGGGCTGGGGTCTGAGGGTGTGCAGCTGGGATCTTTGGGATTGTGGGGCTGGGGTCTCTGAGGGTGTGCAGCTGGGATCTTTGGGAATGTGGGGCTGGGGTCTCTGGGGATGTCATGCTGGAATCATTGGGAATGTGCAGCCGGTATCTTTGGGGATATGGGGGGCTGGTATCATTGGGATTGTGGGGCTGGGGTCTTTGGGTATCTTTGGGGATGTGAGGCTGGTATCTTTGGGAATGTGGGGCTTGGGTCTTTGGAAGTCTGAAGCTGGGGTCATTGGGGATGTGGGGCTTGGGTCTTTGGAAGTCTGAAGCTGGGGTCATTGGGGATGTGGGGCTGGGGTCTTAGGGACTGTGCGGCTGAGTTCTTTGGGGATCTTTGGGGATGTGAGGCTGGGGTCTTTGGGGCTCTTAGGGATTGTGAGGCTTGCTGCCAGCTCTCAGTGCCCTGTTGGTGTTTTCTCTCCCAGATATCCAGGAGAGCAGATTCTCCCCCTGCCTGCCCCTGCTGCTGAGCCCAGGCCTGGCTGAGACGTTCCTGCAGGGATCCCAGCTGGATTTCCTTCCCCTGAGGTGGGATGGGGCTCCTGAGGCTGGTTCTGGGCTCAGAAATGGGGTTTGGGGTGTGTGGAGAGGAGGCACTGCTGGGTTTTGCCTTCAGGAGAGTTTGGGCCAGGGAAAAGCAGGAGCAGGCTCTTCTGAGCTTGTCATGCTGAGGTATGTGGGGAAAATGGGAAAATGAGCAACTCCACCCTCTTCAACATCTCTTAGACTCTGGAATAAACTTCATGAAATTCTGGGGACAAAGATCAGGTTTCTGTATTTACAGGAGTAAACCATACATGGGCACTGTTGTGGTTTGTGGATGCTGGAGCCATGTGTGTAATTTACAGTACAAGTTTGGGGTTAAAATGCACAAAGAAAGAGCTGTTCCAGTAAAAGGCTTTGTCACCTTCATTCCGAGGTGCTCTGCTTGCATGGAATAATATTTATTAGGGTTTGATGGTATGTTTAATAGAAAGGAACTATTAATTAAGCAATCCCCAATATGAGAATTAGAACTTTATAGGAATTTGTTGTTTATCTGAGACCTGGCTGCTTTTATATACTTTAAAAAATAATTGATATAATGAACTGAAGTAGGTGATTTATATTAAAAAATCACAGGCAAGCTGAGATATGTGTAAGCACATGTTGCATATTTTACGTAGCTAATTTTATTAATTTATGTAACTAATAACAGCCTGTCAGTAAAAAATGTTTCAGTCCTAAACAGGTTGAAAAATATTGCCATACTAAGTAAAAATTGATATTATTATAATATTATTTTTGAGCCTTTGTTTTATAGGAGATTTTTGATATTTCTTTGCATTCCTTCAGGTTTTGCCCCTTTAGGGGAGGCATTTATGGGTATTTGTGTGAATATTGCTAACCCCCAGTTGTCACTGAAGTTCTTTTGCCTCTGACTTAAGCCAGAGATGTTGGAATAAAAGAAATGATCAGAAATTCCCTTTTCTTGCAGAGGAATCCCGGATGTTTCTGGAGCATTCCTGGAGTGTTCAGAGCCTCCCCAGGTCCATGGCAGCGCATCCCTGAGGGGCCCAGCCCTTCCCAGTCCATCCCAGCCCGTGGGACAGGCGGATCCTGGAGCTGCCCCCCGGGCTGGGGAGCCCCTGGGCAGCCAGGGGGACAGTGGGGACAGTGACAGTGGCACTGAGCAGGGGGCACCAGCCCCCCCAGCACAGCCAGCTCCCGAGGAGGGGCTGGCAAAGGGGCTGGAGCAGCCCTGGGGCACAGCTGGGAAGGATGGACACTGCTCTGGTCACTCCTGTGGCCACTCCTCCCAGGACAGTGATGGCCCAGCTGCTGGCTCTGAGCTGTCAGAGGGCAACAAGGAGTCCCCAGGGCAGGAGGAATCCTCCTCCTCCTCCTCCTCTTCCTCCTCCTCGGGAAGCTCCTCGTACACAACTGCACTGACCAAATTCTCTGAGAGAAGTGAAAGGGGGGTGCAGCAGGAGAAGGTGAAGGTGCTGGGGAGTGCAGCAGCAGCCCTGGAGAAACTGGAGAAGGGAAAGAAGGTGCCTGAGCTTGGCTGGTCAGATGACTTCTGTGATGGCCTGAGGAAAGGCCGTGCCAAAACCTCGGGTGCTGAAGGTGTTCTCTGTGCAGCAGCCTCTGAGGCAGGCAGGGGAGGGCTGCAGGAGCCTGGGGTGCAGCCCAGGGGCTCCCGGGGGCTCCCAGCTGCTCCTGAGGAGCTGCAGGGAGCTCTGCTGGACCAGCAGCAGCCAGCAGGGAGGCTGGGGACACTGAGCCAGCCCCAGGACACTGCCCCGTGCCCTGGGCATTCCCCAGAGCCTGCAGGCAGCAGGGCTGAGCTGACTGCCTCTGACTGCTCCATAGAGAGGGGCCACAAGGCCACAGAGATCTCCCCTTCCTTCAGCCTGGGGGGTGAGGGCTCCTTCTCCCTGCACCTGGCTCATCCCAACTTCCAGTCCACTCCAGGGCTGCTCCTCAAGAGAGCTGGGAAGGCAGAAGGACCTGCTGGAGTCCTGGTGATCCCTTCGGAGCTTCAAGGCTCTCCTTGCTGTCCCAGTGAAGAAGCCCCAGGGAAGCCCCCTGCCCCTGGGTCCCCTGGGGAGCAGCACCCTCCCCAGAGTGCTGTGGAAGAGACCTGTGGGCGTTTGGAGTCCTTGAGGCTGGAGACCCCCAGCCCTGGCAGGGTGCAGTCCCTGCCCTCCCTGGGGCTCCTGGAGAAGCTGGAATCCCCCAGCCCTGGCAGGATGCAGTCCCTGCCCTCCCTGGGGCACCAGGAGAAGGGAGAATCCCCCTGCCCTGGCAGGGTGAAGTCCCTGCCCTCCCTGGGGCTCCAGGAGAAGGGAGAATCCCCCTGCCCCGTCAGGATGCAGTCCCTGCCCTCCCTGGGGTTCCCTGAGGAGCTGGAACCCCCCAGCCCTGGCAGGATGCAGTCCCTGCCCTCCCTGGGGTTCCTGGAGAAGGTGGGAGCCTGGGCCCTGGGCCAGCCTCAGCAGGGTCCTGCTGCCACCAGCTCCTGTGTGCCAGGTGGGTCTCCTGCTGCCAGGACAGCCTGCAGCGCACCTCCCAGGGCTTCAGGCTGTGTTTTATCAGGCCAGAGCAGCCCTGGGCACCCCGAGGAGCGTGCTGCCCCTGGCTGCAGGGGGACAGGCTCCCTGGGCAGCGTGCATTTCCCCAGCAGCGAGCTGCTGCCTGCCCCTGCTCTCAGCAGGTCCCAGTCTGACAGCACCGTGAACATTTCCAGCAGCAGCAGAGCCCTGCCTGCAGCGAGCCCGGCAGCACAGGGCACGGGGCAGCCCCCGGGGCAGGAGAGCCCTGCTCGGGGAGCCTCTGGCAGCTGCACCCCGCCACAGCTGCTGCCTGCACCCCGTGCTGAAGGGGTGCCCAGCAGCGCCAGGCGAAGCTCGGCCCCGGGTGTGTGTGTGCCCAGTGCTGCTCAGCTCCTTCCAAAGGACGGGAGCTGCCCAGCTGAGGAGCACCAGGACTGTGGGGAGGAGGGAAATCCGTCCCTCAGCCTCAGTGTTCCCACTGGTCATGGCATCGTGGACAGCTTTGGAGCCGTTTCCTTGGAGAGTTTGAATTTTCCTGATGGGCCTGAAGAGCCTCAGGGGGCCCTGGTGGTGCCCAGGCCCTGCCCCAGTGCAGGAGGGGACAGTCCCATGCCCCCTGGAGCAGCCCTGGAGACTCCCAAGAAGGAAGAGCTGAATATTGAAGAAAGGATCCCGGTAAGTTTGGTTCTAATTCCAACTCTGGTTCCAGAGTTATCCATTTTTTCCCCCAGTTATTCATTTAGTTTCCCAGAGTTATCAATTTTTTTTTCCCCAGAGTTAACCATTTATTTTCCCAGACTTATCAATTTTTTCAGTTATATGTTTTTTTCAGTGTTGTCCATTTGTTTTTCAGCATTTCCCATTTGTTTTTCAGAGTTTTCCATTTGTTTTTCACTTTTCCATCTCCCCCCACTGCTCTTTTAGGAGAGGATCTAATCACTACAAGCTCTGGTTTTACACAGGGTTGTGCAGCAGTGATTTTCATCCATGACACTGGTTCAGCTTATCTTAAATAGAGGTGGAAAAATAACTTTTAGTAATATTTAACATGGACAAAGACAGGGTTGGATTTGGAAGAGGTCTCTTGTCTTTGCCAGGGATAGGTGAGTGTCAGGGTGTGGGAAATGGATTTGTAGGGAATTCTCAGAGCCTGACAGAAGGCTCCCCCAGTGTGCAAACTGAGACAAGAAATGCTGCCTTAGAAATGCCAGGGAATAGGACAGACACTGAGAAATGGAGCTGGAAACAAGTTTTAAAGGATGGCTTTGCAAATGAGACTGGACACTGGAGAAATAGAACTGGCAGAGATGCATTGGAGTGGGGCCCAGGAGGGGTACTTTTGGATTATTGGCTTGGTAATTTTGGATTTTTTGCTTTAAGGCATCTACAGCATGGTGTGGCCAAAGCTGATAGGCCAAGAGACACAGTGTATTGTAATTAGGAAATAGTTAAATTCTGGTTGTGATGGTGTGAATTCTAACATCTGTATGGTCTCACCCTCCTCATGAGATGAAAAGGAAATAAAAGTTTTGAAAACACCTCCCAGTTACCCCGTGTCTGGCTCAGAAAAGGGCTCGATCCAGCACCAGGGGCAGGAGGAGAGAGAAGGGAGAGGTGGTGGCTCTCTCAAAGGTCAGGCTCTCCCTGTCCAAACGTGGGTTCAGGCCAGGGTGCTGAGTGAGGAGAGCTGAGCCACCCCAGCTCTGCAGGGGCAGCAGTCCCAACACGGCTCCTTGGACATGAAATCTCTTTTTTCCTGTGATTTTCTCACTGCTTTTTCGCTGTGTTCCCGTTTCTGAGGCCTCAGTTCTGAATTCTTGATGTGTTGCTCATGAGGGAGCTTTCAGAGCCTCTTGCTCCCTTCTCTCCCTTCTGTCCTGTGTGGCTGACCCAGGTTTCTCCTGGCTGGAGCCCTGTGCAGCCACCTTCAGGGCATTGACAGCTGGGAGTGTGGAGCAAATGAGATGCAGATTTATGGTAATGACAAACGTGTAATTATCCTCTGAGTAAGAGGCTGCTCCTCTCACAAGATGACTCCATAATCACCAGGTCTTTGGGAATGTGCTCTGGAAGCTCTTTTCACTCTGTTGTCCCTGCAAACCCGTGGTGAAACAAATATAAATATTGGAGGGAGGGTGTTTGAAATGCAGTTCATGAGACAGAGAGATGACTTGTGTTCCTGGCTATAATTACACACTCCAGCCCAGTTCTGAGGAACGCTGCTCCCATAAATCCCTGGAAGGTAAAGAGGTCAGGTCACTTATCTGGCTGTTTATGATAAAATTGTAGGAAATGGAGCTGGCTGTGATGTGTAAGGTAATTTATTTCCTTTTCCTGGCTAGTTTAGGACATAGTGCGGATGAGTTGAAATTAATTTGCCCTACAGGTGACGAAGTCAAGGCAAATTTTGGCTGTTTTTTTCCCCTGCATATAAGGTCTCTGTGTAAACCAGCTCTGACAAAAGTGCTCCCAAATATTTGCCTTGAAGGTTTGACCAAACTTGTCCTAAAAATGAGGAGCTTCTCTGCTGCTGCCTGGAATTCCCGAGCCTGCCAGTGTCTCCTGAGCAGCAGCTGAGTGGGGAGGGAGAAGGCTTTGAACCAAAACCTTTGTGGTTCTAGCCCAAACCTTTGTGGTGTTAGCCCAGACCTTTGTGTTTTGAACCCAAACCTTTGTGGTTTTAGCCCACACCTTTGTGTTTTGAACACAAGCCTTTGTGGTGTTAGCCCAGACCTTTGTGTTTTGAACACAAGCCTTTGTGGTTTTAGCCCAAACTTTTGTGTTTTTAACCCAAACCTTTGTGGTGTTAGCCCAAACCTTTGTGTTTTTAGCCCACCCCTCTGTGTTTGTTTTCACCCACCCCTCTGTGTTTTCACCCACCCCTCTGTGTTTCACCCAACCCCTGTGTGTTCCCCTGCAGCTGGAAATGCAGTGCCCAGCAGGCGAGGCTGCAGCCCAGCCTCACAGCCTGAGCTCCCGGGCAGTCTGAGCTCCCGGGCTGCGGTGCCCGCGTGTTTCACCCCCCCCTCTGTGTTTCCCCCACCCCTCTGTGTTTCACCCACCCCTCTGTGTTTTCACCCACCCCTGTGTGTTCCCTTGCAGCTGGAAATGCAGTGCCCAGCAGGCGAGGCTGCAGCCCAGCCTCACAGCCTGAGCTCCCGGGCAGTCTGAGCTCCCGGGCTGCGGTGCCCGCGTGGGCAGCAGAGCTCAGGGTCTCCCTGTGCTGATGTTGTGTCTCCCCAGGTGTACCTGCGCAACCTGGGCATCGAGCAGTCCCCGGGCTCCATCCTGGCCCCCTTCGTGCCCCCCGCGCCCCTCCCGGAGCTGGAGTTCTCCCCCTGGCAGCTCAGGAGCCTGCAGCTGGACAGGGACCCCCCCCACGCTCAGGGTACGGGGCTGGGGGGCATGGCAGGGGCAGGGCCTGCGGCTCCTTTCCTTGGGCTAGGTTATTGTGAATAACTAATTGTAATCGTTAGAATGTTACATTATATTATTATATTACATTACATTATATTATATATTATACTATATCATATTCTATTATATCATATTACATTACATTTTATTACATTACATTATGTCGTACAACATCATTACATCATATGATATAATATGACATTATATTATATCATATCATATCATATTCCATCTTATTATATCATATAATATATTACATTATATTATATCATATAATATCATAATGTATAATATTATATTATATTATTATATAACTAATAATAATATATGTTATATATTATGTAACTATAATTGTTATATATATCATAGCTAATTATAATTAGTTAATAACTAACTAATTATTTGGTTTATTATTAATAACTAACTGTAATTAGTTATTAATAATACTAATTATATTGTTCTATATATTATAGAATAATATGATATATGTTAATAATATTATAGATGTTCTATACTACTATATAATATTATTAATATAGATGTTATTATATTATATTATTATTGTGTATCATTATATAACAAATAATAATATAATATATATTGTTATTATTTTGTTATTTTTCTATGGTATAGCTAATTATAATTATAATTAGTTAATAACTAATAATTATTGGCTTAGGTTATTATTAATAATTAATTATTTGTGGTTTGCAATGTGGGCTTTTTTATTTAATTACATAATATTACTTGAATGAGGAAGGTGAAGAAGAAGGATTAGTTACTGTTTTACAACTTTTGTTTTAGATATGACTAAATACTGTATAATATTATATACTAAATAATGCATAATACTACAATTACTACATATTACTAAAGCTTTACTATATATTTTTATATTTTTTATAAAACATTACTATATGTTACTAAACTTTAAATTCTAACTTTTCTACTTTGTGCCATTCCACACATTTATTTGAAGGGTGCCCTCATGATTTTGGTTTTCTCCTGCCATTCTGGGTCTCAGGCCAGACGCAGTGTTTTCCTGAGGGTCAGTGTTCTAGCACAGAGTAAAACCCTCAGCAGGAGGGCACAGACCCCACTCCCGGGGCTGGGGGTCCTGGCACCCACCTTCTGCCATCCCAGAGCAGACTGGAGCTCGGGGAGGTGCTCACACCTCTGCAAACTGCCTCCTGCTCAGGGCTGTGCCTGTGGCCACTGCAGGGACACGGGGCCCTCATTCCTTTATTTCTCTTTTCCCAAGAGGCCTTCAGAAGGAAATGGTTTGTGTCTTGAGACTGAAGGACTGGCACCAGACTTTTTCTTCTGGCTCACACCTCTGCAAACTGCCTCCTGCTCAGGGCTGTGCCTGTGGCCACTGCAGGGACACGGGGCCCTCATTCCTTTATTTCTCTTTTCCCAAGAGGCCTTCAGAAGGAAGTGGTTTGTGTCTTGAGATCTCTTGGCACCAGACTTTTTCTTCTGGGAGAGAATAATTCTTGGCTTCTTTTGCATTCTGGTATCTCTTGGTGCATTCAGTGTGATGAAATGTTGTCAGTGGTATAACTGACCAGATCTGTTCCTATCTCCATCCACCCATCATCATCATCACCCAAATTAGTGTGGATTTGTAACACCAGCCCTGCCCGAGCTCCAGGAGGGTTTGGACACTGCTCCCAAGTGTACAGGGTGGGATTGTGCAGGGCCAGGCTGGATGGATGATCCCATCCAACTCTAGATATGCTCTGATTCTCTGATAAGTTTTGTATTTTGTTTGATATGTATCTGAAGTACTCCTGAGATTTCTTTCAGGAGACAATTCTCAGAGAAATCTTGGTTAAAGTCTCATCCTAAGAACAGCATGTGAAATATTTTCCAGTATTTGAGTTCTTCCCTCCCTTTGTGTGCCCTTAGCACAGGACGGGATGTTTGCTGTGTTCTGGAGCCTGCAGACACTCATTTGTGTTCTGTTCCTTTGCAGGGGCGTTGCTGCCAGCCTTTGAGATGTCCCAGGCCAGCTTTGGCTCGGATGTGTCCCCTCTGAGCGTGTCCCTCGCCGTGGGCTCCGAGGCTGGCTCGGAGCAGGAGCAGGAGCTGCTGTCCCCCCTCGGGGACCCCCCGTCCAGCCCGGGCAGTGTGCCAGGCCCCCAGCTGGAGGAGGCTGCCCCAGCCCGGGGGGCAGAGGGGTGCCCTGGCTGTTCTGGGGCACGGCAGGACCTGCCCAGCTGCTCCTCGGGCAGCAGCCAGCAGGGATGGGCTGTGGGGGCTTTGCCTGGGGTTGGGAGTGAGGTGGAATTGGACAGGGCATCCCCGAGCTCCGGGGTGGGAAGTGAGAGCAGCCAGGGCCAGGAAGGGGAGTCCCTGCTGGGGCCTGGGGTGCTGCAGGAGCTGCGGGAGCTGCTGGCACAGGTGGAGGGGCTCACTGCCAGCTGCAGCCGTCCTGCTGGCCCCACAGCCTCCTGCAGGGAGCCCGGGGAGCTGCCCCCGGGGCTGGCTGGGGGGGAGCAGGGTCCCAAGGGTTCCCGGCTGGGCCAGGACTGGATCCCCGAGCTGCACAAGAGGCTGTCGTGGGATGAGGCCGTGACCCCGAGGGGTGTGCGGGGACAGCGGCTGGGGATGCCCCCTCTGGATGCTGCCAGCTGCCAGCTGGCATGGGCACACCCTCTGGGGGTCAGCTCCCAGCGCAGGGAAGGGCTGAGGGGAACGGCCCAGGAGCCGAGGCCAGGGAAATCCGCGGGGAGGTCGGAGCCAGAAGGGTGCAGCAGTGTGACCACGGGCAGGGACCAGGCTGCCCGAGCGGGGCTGGCACAGGGCAGTGCCAGCAGTGTGACCACGGGCAGGGACCAGGCTGCCCGAGCGGGGCTGGCACAGGGCAGTGCCAGCAGTGTGACCACGGGCAGGGACCAGGCTGCCCGTGCAGGACTGGCACAGGGCAGTGCCAGCAGTGTGACCACGGGCAGGGACCAGGCTGCCCGAGCAGGGCTGGCACAGGCACAGGGCAGTGCCAGCAGTGTGACCACGGGCAGGGACCAGGCTGCCCGTGCAGGACTGGCACAGGGCAGTGCCAGCAGTGTGACCACGGGCAGGGACCAGGCTGCCCGAGCAGGGCTGGCACAGGCACAGGGCAGTGCCAGCAGTGTGACCACGGGCAGGGACCAGGCTGCCCGAGCGGGGCTGGCACAGGGCAGTGCCAGCAGTGTGACCACGGGCAGGGACCAGGCTGCCCGAGCGGGGCTGGCACAGGGCAGTGCCAGCAGTGTGACCACGGGCAGGGACCAGGCTGCCCGTGCAGGACTGGCACAGGGCAGTGCCAGCAGTGTGACCACGGGCAGGGACCAGGCTGCCCGAGCAGGGCTGGCACAGGCACAGGGCAGTGCCAGCAGTGTGACCACGGGCAGGGACCAGGCTGCCCGTGCAGGACTGGCACAGGGCAGTGCCAGCAGTGTGACCACGGGCAGGGACCAGGCTGCCCGAGCAGGGCTGGCACAGGCACAGGGCAGTGCCAGCAGTGTGACCACGGGCAGGGACCAGGCTGCCCGAGCGGGGCTGGCACAGGGCAGTGCCAGCAGGGTGACCACGGGCAGGGACCAGGCTGCCCGAGCGGGGCTGGCACAGGGCAGTGCCAGCAGCCGCCTCAGCGCTGGCACAGCTCCAGAGCTGGGCCATCCTCCGCCCCTGGAGCCCCTGGGCTCTGTCCCCGCTGGCCTGGGGGGCTCCCAGGGCTCGTGGTGCCAGGCTGGGAGGGCAGCAGGGACCCGGGGCAGCCAGGACAGCAGCAGTGGGGACTCCCTGAGTGCCCGGGTCAGGAGCCTCCTGGGGGAGCCTGGGCGCTGGCAGCAGCCGGGCAGTGCCCCGGGGGCGGTGCAGGGCAGCGTGCCCGGGGCTGGCGCTGCCCGGAGCCCGGCTGGCAGCGGCAGCAGCAGCAGCAGCAGCAGCCGTGACTCGCTCGCTGCCCGTGTCCGCCGCCTCCTGGGCAGCGGCGCCCCCGGGCTCCCGGCCAGCCGCATGCTGAGGAGCGCCGAGGAGCAGGAGAGGAAGATCCGGGGTGAGCACTCCCTCAGGGCTGGGGTTTGTCAGGGGGTGAAGGGTGAGGCTGCTCCCTGCTCGAAGGGGATCACTGTCCCCTTTACCGGGACACGGCTCCAGGGCGGGACACTTCCCAGTCTCTCCTGACTTCCACTATATCCCACTGAACTTCATTAATAGGCTTCTACAGCCTTTGGTGAGAAAAAGATGGGAAATAGTTTAAGATGTAAGGAGATCAGAAGGACTGACTTTGGAACAATTGTCCCAGTAAGACACTTCTTTTCTCTAAAGTGCTGAAATATTTTGATTGATCCGTCCAGCTACCTGCAGAACCCACTTAAAGCTTTTGTGAGGGTCCTGTGCAGTGCCTGGGGGGATGTTCTTTGGGAATGTTTGGGCTCTGCCTCTCACTTCCAGAGGTCGCAGACCCAGGAATTCAGGTGCCGCTGGATTTTCTTGGCATTTCCTTGTTTGCCACAGGAAGTGTGTGAACTCTGAGGGCACAGAAAGGAGCAGGACACTGGGGGATCTTCTGTGCTGTGATGAAACTGGGTAGAATTGGGCTTTTGCAGTTTGTTCTTGGCATTTCCTTGTTTGCCACAGGAAGTGTGTGAACTCTGAGGGCACAGAAAGGAGCAGGACACTGGGGAAATCTTCTGTGCTGTGATGAAACTGGGTGGAATTGGGCTTTTGCAGTTTGAAAAACCTTGTTTTCCTGACATCACTGTAAGGAATTATTTTGTCCACACAGTTATTAAGTCAGGAATGTGGGAAGGGATTGTGTGAGTGAGCTCTGACTTGTGTGAGACTGAGGATGACAACCTCTCGTGGTTTGTGTTTTTGGCAGCCTGGGTGAAGCTGAAACTGGCCAGCCAGTCCCAGGAGCGTGGGGCAGACTGGGATGAAGAGACCCAGCTCAGGATGGAGGCAATCAAGGCAGAGCTGCTCCCAAAGGCCAGGGACCCCACGCCAGCCAAGGTACAAACCAGCTCTGCTTGGGGGAAACATGCTGCTGCCCCTGCTCTTGGGGGGTTTGGGGTTTCTAATGGTTTTCCCAGGCAGTTTGGGGTGGTTTGGCCCTGGGGGTGACCCTCAGCTGCTGTCACTCAGGGCTGACACTCACGTGTCCCAGAGGGAGTGTGAAGGACAGAGGTGTGGGGGGACAGTTGGTGCTGCTGTGGGAAAGTGCCCAAAGCTCCTGCTCCTGGGTTGGCTGGGGGATTCTTTGCACAGAATGTTTGTGGAGGTGCTGATGGGCTGGGAAGGTCCTGGGGCTGTGGGACTGACTGTGGGCACTGCCCTGGAGCTGGGGAAGGGAAGGGAAGGGAAGGGAAGGGAAGGGAAGGGAAGGGAAGGGAAGGGAAGGGGCTCCAGGTCCTGCAGGTGAGGATGCCAGGGGAACCAGGCAGTGCTCTCCAGAGAGCTGGGAGGTGTCTGTGGCAGCATGGGTGCCTGTGCTGGTTCAGGGCTGAGGAGGTTGAGGCTCTGCAGCTCTGATTGTCTGGAAGGAGTCCTGGAGCTGCCGTGGTTGGTGCATCTCCTTTGGAGTGCTCCAGTTCATTATAAAATGCATGGCTGGGCTGGAATTGGTCTGAGCAGGAGTGTGTTACCTCTGTTTTCACTTCAAATGCCATTTCTGGCACTGCTCTGGTCTCCAGGGTGATCAGAGCAGGTTTTTAGGGGCTGGTGGTTCAGACAAGTGCCCTGAGCTTTAGGAAGAGCTTCCTCTTGATTTATTTCCTTGATTTCCCCCTGTTTTCTCCTGCAGCGTGCCTGCCTCCTGGGAAAAGCAGCAGGGGTTGGTTTGTTTGTTTTAATTAAAAGCCCTCCATTAGCAGGAGTGACAATCAGTGCTTTAGGAGCACTCTGTGTTCAGAGTTTCTCTGGATCAGCAGTGCAGGGAGGAGACACAGCAGCTCCCAAAAGCCATCAGGCCAAGCTTCCCCAGTATTCCCAGACTGGTGGAATCTCTGGGCAGCTGGGGGAAAAAAAGTGACTATTTTATTTATAATTACAATATAATATAATATAATATAATATAATATAATATAATATATAAAATATTATATATTAAATAATATAGATTATTAAATATATAATAGTATTATAAATATTATTAGCAGGAGTGACAATCAGTGCTTTAGGAGCACTCTGTGTTCAGAGTTTCTCTGGATCAGCAGTGCAGGGAGGAGACACAGCAGCTCCCAAAAGCCATCAGGCCAAGCTTCCCCAGTATTCCCAGACTGGTGGAATCTCTGGGCAGCTGGGGAAAAAAAAGTGACTATTTTATTTATAATTACAATATAATATGATATAATACAATATAATATGATATAATATAATATAATATAATATAATATAATATAAATTACATAATATAGATTATTGAATATATAATAGTATTATAAATATTATTTAACATTTTAGAAATTCACGTTTCTTCAAATTCAGATTTCTTAAAAAAGAGAAACAAAGCACAAACACAAAACCAGGGCATCAAAGCTTTTTCCCCCCAGCTTTTAGATTTTGTTTGGTCACAGCTTTGTCCCTAGAAGGAGCTCTGTGCAGGGTGGAACCAAGGATTTTACCCTCCTGTGACTCAGTGTCAGCTGGGGATTGTTTTATCCCCATTTAGAGTAAGAAGAAATTCACCATAATTTTGCAAACCAAGCTCCTGAGAAATTTTAGTTCAACCACAGCACCTCTTGCTTTGATCTCGAAAACACTTGCACTGCAATGTTTTTAACTTGAGATAAAAAAAAGGTTTGAATTTGCAGAGTGAAGGTCACTGGGTTTTTTTGTTGTACTTAAGATAAATGTGCTTCTCCCTCCAAGACAAACACTGTCACTGAAAAATACAGATTGTTCAGAAGTGTTGCACTGAAAAAAACCACAGCCAGGCAAAATATTCTCCTGTAAATTTGATGGGAACTGGTGTGTACAATAAGGGTGGAAGGTTTAGAGCCGAAGTGCCTTGTATGGAGTTAAAAAGAACAGAGCAAAGATTAGGAAAAGACATTTTCCTTCTCCTGAACTTTTAAGGCTGAGGAAGACACTGTTCCTGCAGCTCCTGCACAGGGCCCTGGGCAGGGCCCGTGGGGCAGGTGGGGATGTCTCTGGCAATGTTCAGCTCTGCCTCTGGCTTTCAGAGGCACAGCTCCAGGAGTCCAGGTGCCACTGGACTTGCCTGGCGTTTCCTTGTTTGCCATGGAAGTGTGTGAGCTCTGAGGGCGCAGAGAGGAGCAGGGCACTGGGGACGTTCTCTGGGATGTTTCACTTGGGAAGATTTCCCAGCTTTCCTCTGGGTTTCCCAGGTGTGGCTGAGCAGGGGGTTCAGGAGGGGCCTGGGGTGGGCACAGCAAGGGGCTGCAAACGCGGCCTGGAGGGCTCTGCAGGGCTCAAAACCCCTGGAATATTCCACATGGACAGGCTGGAGAGCTGGGAATGTTCCCTGGAGAAGGGAAGGCTCCAGGCAGAGCTCAGAGCCCCTGGCAGGGCCTGCAGGGGCTCCAGGAGAGCTGCAGAGGGACTGGGGACAAGGGACAGAGGGACAGGACACAGGGAATGGCTGCCACTGGCCAAGGGGAGATTGGGCTGGGATCTTGGCAAGGAATTGCTGGCTGGGAGGGTGGGCAGGGGCTGGGCTGGAATTGCCAGAGCAGCTGTGGCTGCCCCTGGATCCCTGGCAGTGCCCAGGCCAGGCTGGACACTGGGAGCAGCCTGGGGCAGTGGGAGGTGTCCCTGCCATGGCAGCTTTGGAGCTGCTGTTGGATGTAAACACAATTCCAGCACTTCAGGCTCAGGATTTTCCTCCTAAACTGAGGACCTGATCCCCCATCTGTACTTCAGGGTGCCAGTGCTCCCTGCTCCCTTCCCTGTGAGTTCCTTCCCCCTTGGTGCAGTGTTTTCCTCCACTCCCTGCTGTACTTTTCCACTCTTGAGCTTTCTCACTTCTCCAGGAAGTTCACGGAGTTGTAGCTCTAAATTTGCTCTGCAGGCTCCTGTGGATCATATGGCACAGGGAGCTTTTTTGGAAGGATGACACATAACAGGCACAATAAAACATGTGAAAGGCTTGGGAAGATGAGTTGATCACAACTTCTGTGCCTGCTCTCGCTGGTGGGAGTTGCTCTGGATTACCTCAGGCCGTTGAACTGGCACGTGGTGCAGGGAGGAGAAGGTTTGGGATCATCCCTGTGCTGGCACAGCTCTGCTGCCTGTCCCTGTGCTCTTCCACAGGCCCTCCTGCCTGCAGGAAATGCCAAATAATCCCATTTGTTGCCTTAAAATCCATAAAGGAATAGAGAAGTGGGATAGTGATCCAGGCCCCGCTGGAGCAGTTGCTGCTGTCAGGACATCTGGGATGGAGAAAGGCTGGGAAAGCTCTTGTGAAATACTTGTTTATGTGTTTGGTTTACACCAGAAATGTTTCCCACTGCTTTTTGTTGCCAAATTCCCAGTGGTTGATGGGGATATAATCACCCAGGGGCCCGTGGTGCTTCATGACTGAAATACACTCTGCTGCTTCCACAGTTGGCCCAATCAGCAGGCAAAAGTAAATATAACCTAGATTTTTGTGTCTTTTTTCTGTAATTCAGCTTATCTGGCCCATCTCCATGGCAGCACATTTATCTCAGATTTACTCTCTTCAGTGGAAGTGTTGGAATCTTGGGTTACACTTGAATGAATAAATTTATGTTGGTGGTTGGAATCATTCAGGTGGGAAAAGACCTCCAAGATCATTGAGTCCAACCATCAACCAGCACCAAAGTGTCCTCACATGCCTCACCCACACGTTTTTGTGCAATTCCAGGGGTGGTGGCACCACCAGCTCCCTGTTCCAATGCCTGCTAACCCTTTCCAGGCAGAGATTTTCCCTGAGCTCCTTCCTAAACGTCCTGTGGTGCAGCCTGGGGCCACTGCAGAAGCTCTGTGCACAGGAGGGTGGTGGCCTGAGCCCACACACAGGGGGACAGGGGGTGGGAGGGCTGGATCCCCGTGGAATTGTGTCTGTCCTGTCCCTTGCCAGCATTCCCTGCCCCTGCCCCAGATGGGACCAGAACTGCAGGCAGGGCTGGGAGAGCTGCTCCTGGCACAGGGTGTGCAGGCTGCAGTGCCAGGGACAGCTCCCACTGCCCCAGGCTGCTCCCAGTGCCCCCCTGGCCTGGGCACTGCCAGGGATGCAGGGCAGCCCCAGCTGCTCTGGGAGTGCCAGCCCAGCCCCTGGCCAGCCTCCGTGCCCAGATCCCAGCCCAGTGTGCCCTGTCGGGGCTGGGAACAGCTCTGGCTGACTCTGTTCAGCCAGGGCAGAGCCAGCGAGGAGATCTCAGCCCAGCTGAGTGCTGCTCTTGCTGTGCTCCAGGGCAGCACCTCCCTGGGCTGGGACAGCACTGGCCCTGGAAATGGCTGGGGATGGTGGCTGGCACTTTGAAAGGGTACAGGTTAACTGGTGCCTTACCAGCTGGGTTCCCTCCCTTCCTGATGGCAAACTCCTGGTTGGTCACAGCTCTCATCTTTGCCTTTTCCCTCCAGGTTTGGCCAGGGTGGGACGTTCTCCACATGACCCCTGAACTGTGCTCTGTTTTTCAGGATCCCTGGCTCTGTGGTTTGGAAGCAGCTTCTGAGCACCTGAGGAAGCAGGAGCAGGACCTGGAGGGTGACCAGGCTCCCAGGTGTCCCAGGGACAGGCATGGACAGCTCTCCAGGACTCGGGAGCATCTCCAGCCCAGCTCCCCACCAGCAGCACCATTTCCTAGAGCTGTTCCCTGGGATTGCTCCCTGCTGCAGGACATGCTGAAACCCTGCAGTGCTGCTGACCTGCAGGACATGCAGCTGAAACCTTGGGGTGCTGCTGAGATTAAGGATGTGCAGCTGAAGCCCTGCAGTGCTGCTGAGATGAAGGATGTGCAGCTGAAGCCCTGGAACACTGCTGACCTGCAGGACGTGCAGCTGAAGCCCTGCAGTGCTGCTGAGATGAAGGACATGCAGCTGAAACCCTGCAGTGCTGCTGAGATGAAGGATGTGCAGCTGAAACCTTGGGGTGCTGCTGACCTGCAGGATGTGCAGCTGAAGCCCTGGAACACTGCTGAGCCCTGCAGTGCTGCTGAGATGAAGGACATGCAGCTGAAACCCTGCAGTGCTGCTGAGCTGCAGGTGCACAGGCAGCACCCAGCCGTGGGGCAGCCCAGTGCCATGGCAGAGCTCCGTGCCCCTCTGGCACGGGACCCCTGTGCAGGGAGCCCTGCAGCTGCCCCCCGTGCCCACGGGGAGCTGGGGCAGGGCTGGGGGGAGCTGGGCAAGCGCAGCACCTCCATCAGCCTCAGCCCCCAGAGCCTGGCTGGGACCCTGCCCGGGGAGGGGAGGCTGGGCACAGAGCCCTGGCACCCAGCTCTCAGACAGGGCTGTGCCCCCTGCCCCGTGCTGGCTGGCTCTGGGGGTGCTGCTGAGGCTCCTGCTGCCCCTGCTGCCAGGGCTGCAGCTCCTCAGGAAACAGCCCAGCAGCCTGGCAGCATCCCCACTGGGAAGGGACAGACCCCGAGTGCCAGGCAGCCCCAGCTCCTGCCTGCAGCTGGGGGGCACAGAGCCGGGGGGCTCAGCCAGGACACGGAGCCATCCATTGGGCCCCCCCCTCTGAGCCCATCCCAGCAGCAGGAGATCCCCCCTGGGCACACCCAGCCCCGGGAGGGCTCAGAGGGCCCAGGGGCAGCTGCACAAAGGGCTTTGCTGAGGGGCCCTGCTGAGGTGTGGGCAGAGGGGAGGAGAGGCCCTGGCCAGCCCCCTCTGGTTCCAGAAGAGGCTGTGAGGGAGCACACGGGTCCTGCTCACCCCTCAGCTGCAGACGAGGCTTTGTCCACCAGGCCTGAGGCTCCCTCAGCCCCGGTGAGGAGATTCCTGAGCTGTGTGCACATCACCCTCTGCTCCAGGGTCGGTCACCCCAGTGCCAGCAGTGCCAGCAGGGCTGGGCACGGGGCCAAGGTGTGGGACAAGCCTCAAGGCAAGGCTCAGGCTGTGGCTTTACAAGCAGCTCCAGGAGCTTCAGTGGAAGGTGTTCCTAAATCCCCTGCTGCTGAGGCTGCTCCAGAGGATCCAGCAGATCCCAGCCGGGTGCCTTCCCCCAGGCAGGAGCAGCTGCAGGGCAGGGCCAGAGCCCAGCTCCAGGCCTGGGGGGCTCGGGGTGCACAGGGCATCCCCAGCTCTGCAAAGCCTGGCAGAAGGACTTCTGATGCTGCCACCCAGATCACCACGGAGAGCCCTACAAAAGCCACGCTCTCAGCAGAAATCTGTGTTGATCCCCAGGAGGGGGGAGGTGGTGCCCAGCAGCCGTCGCTCCCCAGCGCCCCTGGAGCTCCTGGGATTGCAGCTCCATCCCACAAGGAGATTCCCCCCTTCCCAAGGCAGCCTGGTGAGCACATTCCTGTCTTATGGGTGTCTGTGCACTGAATCTGTACAAGGTCGAGGTACTGATAAATGTGAGAGCCCAAATCCAAACCAGCTTTCTGTGGAAATAACATCCTTGAGATAACTGGGTATTTGAAGTTGCTCATGTGTGGGGGAAACCCAACCCTTACACTTGGGTTTTTCAGCCTTGTCAGCAGGGATTTGTGTGCATAGAGTTGGGATTCAGTTCGGGTTTCTCTAGAAACTGAATTCTTTGTGTCCAAGTGTGGTTGGAGAGTATTTTCTGGTGTTTGTAGATGGTTTGGTTTGATGCACTTGGAGTTCAGTGAGAGCTGGATCTGATTACTGGTTTACTCTCTAGTCAAGATAGCCCCAAAAGATCAGAGGGAAATCTGCACATTGCTGCTGTTAATAGATTAAACACAGAACTGCAGGGTTTGGGCTCTCTGTCAGCAGGGGATGTGGATGTTCACAGGGTTTCCCACCCCAGTGGAGTTTGGTACTGGGGCTCTGTTGTTACTTTTATTGACTTGAGGGTCACATCCCTGCTCCTTTAAAAGGAGCAAAACTGGGATCAGCTGGGAGCTCTGTGAGCACAAGAGATGTTTCTGCAAGTCACTGTTTGCCCCCCTGATCACCACTTTAATATTGAAAAAGTAAAGCTGGTTTTCCAGGTAAGGGATGGTAACATTCTGCCTGTGGGTGGGGATTAAAAAACTAAATTATTTCAATGTAGCTAATGAAATAGCAATCCCTGTTGCTGAAGAACAGGCTATTCCTCAGGCTAGCAGCAGGAGCAGCCTGCCCAGGCCCTGCCCTGCTGCCTGAGGGGTCTCCAGCCTGGCTCCTGCTCACTGTTTGCCTTGCTCCCCCAGCCCAGCCCCTGCTGCTGCCCTACAAGCCCTGGGGAAGCTCTGGCATGTATTATGTGCCTTTCCAGAAAGCAGGAGGCAGCGTGTCCCCAGGGGAGCCCGAGGCCAGCACAGCCAGCTCCTGCTCAGGTACTGCATGGATGTTCCTGAGAATTACCTGAATCGGCTGTGAGCCACGGGGCAGCTCTGCCCGCAGGCTCTGCTCTCCCTTGGGGCTGGCAGGGAGCAGAACTCCGTGTTCACAGCCTGACCATCCCTTGCTTTCCTCTGGGAATTGCTGCTCACTCGGGATCCTTGCAGATCTCTGACACTCCTCCTGCAAAGAGTGGATCACTGGGTTTATTACAGGTTTTCACAGGTTTTTATTACAGATTATCACAGGTTTTATTTGCAGCTTGGTTTCACTCAGAGATTTTTAATATCCAGAGTTTGGTCTGTAGACAAAACTCACGTTGGAGATTCCAGTTGCTGAATTCCAGCAGTGGTGACCAAGGGATCAGGCTGGTCCAACAGTGCCAGAAGTGCCCAGATCAGTCACTACGGCCACAAATTGTGCTGGGCATGGTTTAGGCATCTCTGCTCTTGACCTTTTTCAAGTTTATCTGGGGAAACGTGTCCAAAGTGAGAGAAACAAATGTGATGCAAATCTGTTGTTTTGCAGAAATGATGATGCCATATATAAAAATTCACTATGCAAATGAAGCAGCACAAGGTTCTAGGAAAGCGTACAGCAGGATGGAAAAATACATTTTGTTTTTCCCAGTCCCTGCTGCACTCGGGGCTCAGCTCAGGGGGAGCAGCTGAAGGAACTGGGTGCAGGAAATCCACGGGATGTGACCAGGTGGGGTTGGCAAGGATGAGAAATTGGTGGGGACAGTTCTAGGCTTCTAACCCTGAGACAGGGATGGGATCATGGAGTCCTGGAATGGTTTGGGATTGAAGGGGTCTTAAATCCCACCCAGTGCCACCCCTGCCATGGCAGGGACAGCTGCCACTGCCCCAGGCTGCTCCAGCCCCATCCAGCCTGGCCTGGGCACTGCCAGGGCTCCTGGTGGAGGTGAATTGTGCCATTTCTGTGCCTGCTGTGGCACTCACGCTGCTCTCTCTCTGCAGGCTCAGAGGATGCTCCTGCTGCAGGCATCCTGGCCCCAGTGCTGGGTGTGGGGGATGAGGCTGCTCCAGCCAGGGCAGCTGCCCAGCACAGGGGGACAGGCCACGGGCACAGGCCCAGGCTGGCCTGGGCTGAGGAGCACAGCACGCCCCTGGAACAGTCCTCAGGTAATTGGAATGTGGCTTTAATTTGGTAATGGTTTCTGTGTGCTCATACATGTGAAGGAAGTCAGAGCAAAAGATTTGATCACTTGAGGATCCGTGACGTTGCTGAGCCTGCCAGAAAATGCTGGATTGGACTCCGTTTTCTCTTCCTGTCTTCCTGCTTCTCCCTGACTGATAAAATCCAGGTTTCCCTGGCAGGCTCGGGACTCTGCATCCCTGGAGTGTCCCAGGCCAGGCTGCACAGGGCTGGAGCAGCCTGGGACAGTGGGAGGTGTCCCTGCCGTGGCCTGGAGCACACCGCTGCTGGTGCCTGCATCTCTGCTGCAGCAGCTGCTGTCCTGATGGTTCCTGTCCTGATGCGCTGATAGGGTTTCCATTATTTTCATTTTTCACTTGTGGTTGGGTTTTTTTCTTTGAAGCTCTTCCTCTCTTCCTTTTGGTGTTTCCAGAAGACAATTTTTATTTGCACAGGAAAATTTCAATGATTATGTAAGGCTGCAACATCAATAACCTGGATAAAAATGAGAGGAACAAAAGTGTTAACATAAAATTATCTCCTAACATTTTTTTATTGCTGTGATGGTCTGAAGGCCCAGGTAAGAAAAGAACTGTAAGGAGAAAGAATATTTTGTGAAGCAGCCAATGCAGCTGGAACTTTAAAGAAGCTTTCAGAAGAAAGACTTGCCTGTCTTAAATCTTCCCTGACTTCTTCAACTGTATTTTTAGATGATCTAATATAAGATTACCTCTACCCACAGAGCTTGTCTAGAGCTTAAAATTATGCAAGTTATGTATTTTTCAAAAAAAAAAGTTTCTCTATACAAACTTATTTTTATTTTTTGCCTGTTTACATTCCTTCCATTTCTTGGTAACTTTCTAAAAAGCCAGGAATAGCAAAGTTCTGCCTGGCATTCCCAAGCTTGATCTCATTTGTCAGGAGGATGTGGAGGAAGCCTCTTACACAAGTTTATAAACATTGCCCTTGTATGGGAAGAAAATTCCTGCACTTGCAGAGTTAGTGAGGCTGGGCCTGGCTGCAGCATCCATGGCCTCTGTGTTCCAGCAGAGCCCCTGTGCTGGGAAGGGAGCAGATGCAGCCACCCAGTCCTTTCTGCAAAAAACACAAGGAACATTTTAGAACTGGATGGTTTTTGGATACTAAAAATCACTTTGAAGCTGTTTTGGAGAGCGGTCCTGGTTCATGCTGTGTGTGTTCCATGGATGGCCAGGGCATCCCATCCCTGGCAGTGTCCAAGGCCAGGCTGGGTGGGAACTGGGACAGTGGGAGTGTCCCTGCCCGTGGCCCTGGATGGGCTCTGGGGTCCCTTCCATGACTAAATAAAGGCTCACTTCAGGGTTGGTCAGGGCACTTCCCTGAGGTGGAATTAGATTCCTCCCCAGATTCACTTGGATGGAATATTCTCTTGGATTTCATGTTGCAAAAGACAGAAAATATTTGTTTATGTGATTTTAATAATGCTCAAACCTCATCTCCAAGTTTGGGAATGAGCTCGGTGATCCTGCTTTTAATCCTTTGTGGTGGTTTGGGAGTTTTAGGATGAAAATCCTCCACGGTAAGCAGAGCAGCAAAACATTGAAGTGTTTTGTGTCTTGCAGAGCTCCCAGCTGGTTCCCGGCGTGCAGAACCCTCCCGCGCTGTCCCTGAGCCCGCCGGGCAGAGCTGCTGCCAGCACCCCAGGGCGCTCCCCAGGGCCCAGCGGGGTCCCCGTGCCCCCCGGGGCACAGAGGGGCCGTTCTTTGCCCTCCCTGCAGAGGCTGATGACAGCAGGAGCGAGGAGCCGAGTGCCAGGGCGTGCTTTGGGCACGGAGCTGCTGGCGCTGATCCTGGGCCGCGGGGCCCCGCTGCTGCCCTGCAGGACAGCGTGGGGAAGGCACCCCGGCAGAGGGGCCAGGCCAGGGGCAGCCTGGACCAGCTGTGGGTGAGGTTCCTGCAGCGGCAGGGCACGCAGCAGCTCCGCAGCGGCGGCGAGCTGTCCCTCGTGGAGCGCCTGGACCGGCTGGCCAGGCTCCTGCAGAATCCCATCAGGCACGCCCTGGCGCCCACAGCGGCTGGCGAGAAGGCTCCTGAGGAGGAGATCCAGGGAAGGGAGCAGCCAGAAACCGGGCTGGCAGGAAAAGGCAGCTCTGGGAGCAGCACGGAGCCGAGGGCAGCGCGAGCGGGACGGAGCCGTGGCAGCAGCAGGCCGGGCCAGAAGGTGATCCAGCACCTGAGCAGGATCCTGGAGGAGCAGCAGCGCCTGGGGATCCCCAGTGACAGCTCCTCGGAGAGCAGGCTGAGCCGAGAAGTGTCCAGCTGCAGCACCTGCAGCACCTGCAGCACCTCGGCGTGGGACACGGGGACGGGGCTGGACACCTGCCCTGCCTCCGGGGACAGCAGCTCCCTGTCCCTGTCCACCATCGACACGGCCCGGCTGCTCCGGGCCTTCGGGCAGCACAGGCTGGCCCCAGGCACCGACACGCCGAGCCCGGCCCCGGGGCTGTCCCCAGGGCTGGCCCGGCTCTACTGTGCCATCAGCCAGCAGAAGAGGCGCTCCGAGAAGTGGCACGGGCACAGTGGAGGAGCAGGGGCCGGGCCGTGTCCCCAGGGGGCTGCTCCGAGCCTCGGGAAGGACCAGCAGAGCCAGGTGAGAGCTCCCTGGGCCCAGCCCTGCCCCATCCCCACGGGAATCCCCACTGCTGCTGGCTCTGTGAGCTGGGAGTCTCTGGGAGTCACTGGGAATCACTGGGAGTCTCTGGGAGTCACTGGTTTCTAGGGGTGGCTTCTGCCGTCCATGGGGGCAGCCCCAGCCAGGCTCTGAGTCTGCAGGAGCCAGGGCAGCAGCTCGGGCTGGCAGACACCACCTGGGCTTGCTTGCCTTGTCTCGATTCCCTTGGGAAGAGATCCTGCTGTCCCCATCCCTGGGAACAGATCCTGCTGTCCCTGATCCTTGAGGACAGATCCTGCTGTCCCTGATCCTTGAGGACAGATCCTGCTGTCCCTGATCCTTGAGGACAGATCCTGCTGTCCCTGATCCTTGAGGACAGATCCTGCTGTCCCTGATCCTTGAGGACAGATCCTGCTGTCCCTGATCCTTGAGGACAGATCCTGCTGTCCCTGATCCTTGAGGACAGATCCTGCTGTCCCTGATCCTTGAGGACAGATCCTGCTGTCCCTGATCCTTGAGGACAGATCCTGCTGTCCCTGATCCTTGAGGACAGATCCTGCTGTCCCTGATCCTTGAGGACAGATCCTGCTGTCCCTGATCCTTGAGGACAGATCCTGCTGTCCCTGATCCTTGAGGACAGATCCTGCTGTCCCTGATCCTTGAGGACAGATCCTGCTGTCCCTGATCCTTGAGGACAGATCCTGCTGTCCCTGATCCTTGAGGACAGATCCTGCTGTCCCTGATCCTTGAGGACAGATCCTGCTGTCCCTGATCCTTGAGGACAGATCCTGCTGTCCCTGATCCTTGAGGACAGATCCTGCTGTCCCTGATCCTTGAGGACAGATCCTGCTGTCCCTGATCCTTGAGGACAGATCCTGCTGTCCCTGATCCTTGAGGACAGATCCTGCTGTCCCTGATCCTTGAGGACAGATCCTGCTGTCCCTGATCCTTGAGGACAGATCCTGCTGTCCCTGATCCTTGAGGACAGATCCTGCTGTCCCTGATCCTTGAGGACAGATCCTGCTGTCCCTGATCCTTGAGGACAGATCCTGCTGTCCCTGATCCTTGAGGACAGATCCTGCTGTCCCTGATCCTTGAGGACAGATCCTGCTGTCCCTGATCCTTGAGGACAGATCCTGCTGTCCCTGATCCTTGAGGACAGATCCTGCTGTCCCTGATCCTTGAGGACAGATCCTGCTGTCCCTGATCCTTGAGGACAGATCCTGCTGTCCCTGATCCTTGAGGACAGATCCTGCTGTCCCTGGTCCTTGGGCAGTGCCCAGTGAGGTTGTAAATCTGATGGAAATTGCAGCCAGGGCATCCCTGGGCAAGGATCCACACAATTATTGGAGTTTCCCTGCTGCTGGCCTTGTAAAAATTTGTAAATTGTTTTGTCTGGCTGGTTGTGGATCTTTTTTCTTTAAAGAGCTGAGAATTCCAGGTGAGAACTCTGCAGCTGTTTGAAAGGGGAGGGAAGAATTCCTTCAGGTGAATTCAGCTGTTGCTCTTGGCAGGAGAAATGGAAATGTTCTTAAAGAGGGACTCAGCCTGGATTTGGTGATTTTAGTAAGGAATTACAGAGTTCAGGGGTTCTGTGATACACAGGAATGCTGAGAAGTATAGAACAAGTGAGGAACATTTAATTACTGCTTTCATTTTTTTTTGGTATTTCCAGATGAAACTGGAACTGGCATGATTATTAGCAGATTTAATTGAAATTAGCTATTTTATTTTACAGAAATAACTCCAAGTCTGTTTGTCAAATAAGCCAGTGAATTATGAAATAATTAAAAGTAATGCCAATAACTAAATAAATCTGGGGAGGACCAATATTTTTGAAGGTGAAGAATGGTTTAAAAACATTCTATTCAATATTTTTATTCATAACATTTATTTGAAGGTAAAATAAAACTGTCCTGAACTTTGCAGTGTTAGGACTGTTAACCAGAACACCAGCATTAGGATCCAACATTTCTGACACAGTTGTAGAATTCAGAAGATGATTTTATTCCATGTTCCATTCAGAAGATGAATTTTTCAAGGTCTATTGAACCTTAAACCTAAGTCTGATTTTTTAACCTGTTAAATCATCTGTGAGATGAGAAATGGAATTAATGCTCTGGAGAATAAACCCTTTAAAGGCTCATTGAACCCCCATGGCTTTAAAAACTCACATTTTTATCTGCTGGTGAAATATTCTTTTAAAAAACCCATCTGAGGACACACGTGACCCTCCTCAAACAAGAAGTGAGAGAATATAGATCGCAAAATAGCAAATTTAATTAAAAATTCCGATTTTGGTCACTTCTGGGCTGTTTAGCTGAGGAAAAGTGGGGATTCCTTTGTATTTTTAGTGCAGTGTGTGGTTTGGGGCAGGTCTCCGTTCGGAGAGGAGCCCAGCTCCCAGAGATCCGTGCCCCAGTCCCTGTGGGAGTGCTGCCTGTGGGGCTCAGCTGGGAGCCCGTTGTGAGCCCTGCTCCCAGGGGAGCTCCTCTGCCTGTGAGCTCCAGAGCATCCCTGGAGGCTTTGCTGCTGCAGCTGCCGTGTGCAGCAGGTGCAGAGCCGGAGCTGGAGAGCAGGGAACACTCCCGTGGCACCAGCAATATTGCTGGCACTGCCCAGCTGGGTGGCTGCTGCTGGGCAGTGCTGCACCTGCAGGGAAGGGTGTATGCTGGGGTTTTTCTCCCTGGTTTTACACATTGCTGAGCACATAATTCAAATTCACACCTTCACAATACGAATGTTCACATGCTCTGTTATCTGAAAGGAAATCCATATCTGTGCATCTGTGCAGTGCCTCTCCTGGAGCTGGGGTAGTTAGAGGAGATTCAAGAAAAGCAGGTTTAGGAGAGCCAGATGGCCTCCTGCTGGTGTTGAAGTTTTGTTTGGGGTGGCAGAGCTGCAGTAAAAGGGAATAAAGAGGAGGCCTCTGCATTTCTGTGCTGGCTGGTGCTGGGGGTTACTCACAGGACACCAGATAATTTTCCCCAGGTCCCTGATTGCAGTTCTGTAATTAGAGCTGGAGCTCAGGGCAGCTGTGGGCACTGTCAGGGTGCCCTGGGAGCCTGGAGGTGCTGCCAGGTCACTGATGTTAATAAAGCCCACAGAGCCAAGGCTTGGCACAGCCTTGCTGCTTTTAATGGCTTTGTTAATTGAAATTAATGTGTGGCCTGCAAGCTGTGTCCAGGCCTGCAGCTTTCACACCTGGCTGGGTGTGAATGAAGGTGTAGACTCCCCTTGTCCCTCCTGTTCCTTGGATTTATGCAGAGGAATTTCTCCCACCTGGAGGACTCTGTGGTGAGGATCACAGGGTGAGGCGCTTCCCCTGCTTCAAAAGGGTTTTGCCTGCCCACCCTCCCAGGGAACAGTTCCTAATTCCCAATGTCCCAACCATCCCTGCCCCCTGGCAGTGGCAGCCATTCCCTGTGTCCTGTCCCTTGTCCCCAGTCCCTCTGCAGCTCTCCTGGAGCCCTCCAGGCCTGGAAGGGGCTCTGAGCTCTGCCCTCAGCTGAGCAGCCCCAGGTGGGCTGGAGGATGCCCAGTGCTGTCCTGACTGATCCCAGCAAGCTCTTCCCACAGAGATAATGTGCTTTTATCATGTAAATCGTGTACTTTTCATTGATGTACCGAAGTGGGCTGCTGGAAGTGCCCGGGGTGGAGCCAGGGCTGGCTTTTGTGGGAGCAGTGGGACAGATCAGCCTGGGCTCAGCACTGACAACAACAGAACCGAGGTACAACAAGGGAAAAGCAATGACTTCTTTCTGTTTAAATGCTGTTTGCTGCTCATTTGGGTTGCAATTTCAGCAGTTCCTGTTCCCTTGGCTGTTTCTGCAGAGCACCATCCCCTTCTCCTCGGATTCCACCTGTGCCAGCAGCAGCTCCTGGGGGCCCAGCTCTGCCCTCAGCCACAAGCGCCGGACACGGATGCTGAGCAAAGGCATCCAGGCAGGTGAGCCCTGAATCCCACCCCTCCTGCCTCCTCCTGCCTCTCCTGCCTTTGGAGCCCCTTCTCCCAGTCTGGGTGCTCCTGGTGTGGGTCTGTGCAGCAGCACCCTCCAGACTCCCTCTGAATGCTGCCAGGGAGGGGTGATGTGTTCAGGGAACGTGAGCTGTTTATTTGCCATTCTTGGGCTGCTTTAAAAGCCAATTTTCTCACTTGTAAAGTTTACCAGCCTCAGCTTCTGCTCCATTTCAATGGCAAAGGTGAGCTGCCTTTTTTTATCTATTGTTTTTTCCCCAAGACATCTGTTCCTCCCAGAATGGCTTTTGTAGGCATATGCTATTTCAGAAGGCAACTGCAGTGTTCCGTGTTCTTCCTGGGAATATTTTGGGTGTTCAATTCTATTTCAGTCCCGAGCTGCTCCTGGCCTGGTGCAGTTCTGCAGTTGGGTTTTTTCTGGTGGCAATTAGCAGTTTCTTCATTGCTTTCATTTCCACGCCAACTCCCCATCATCACATTGAGTAATGGCCTTGGTTTATTCATCAGATACAGCAATTATTTATTTATTCCTGCTTGTGTGCAAGCAGATTGAATCAGAGAAGGATTTTCATAGCGCAGAGTTAATTCCAGTTGGATTCCCACCCCCAGATAAATGCACATTTTGCTTGGGGTATTTGGTTTTAATTTCCCTCAGATTATCACACAGTAACAATCCCCAGCCACTGGAAACTCTGCTTGGTTTGGGGAAGTGTAAAATGTAAATATAAAAGGTTTGGACTGCTGGAGGTGGGTGAAGCTCTTCACTCTGGGCTGGAGTGGGGTCATTCCCTGCCCTGGCACTGAGACGTCCCTGCTTGGTTTCCATTCCAGGGGACCTGGAGATCGTCAGCAGTGCCACCAGGAAGAACACCCGGGATGTGGGGGTGACCTTCCCCACGCCCAGGAGCAGCCAGCAGCTGTGGGAGCCCCCGGGGCAGGGACAGGGACAGGGGGGAGCCTGGCAGCAGCCCCAGGCACGGCCGGGCAGGCTCCTGACAGACACACGGAGCAGGAGGAGCAGGCTGGGTAAGGCTGGGGACACCTGGGCAGGGCTGGGGACACCTGGGCAGGGCTGGGACACCTTAGGCAGGGTTGGGACAGCCAGGGCTGTGTCACAGTCCGTGGTGGTGGTGGACACAACCTGCCCCAAGAGCATCCTGTGCCAAGGGGCAGGAGCCACGAGAGCACAGCACACACACTGATGTGTGGACAGACAAATCTTCAACTAATTAAAGTGGAAAGGTGGAGTGTTCTTTATAGCACTGGGTACAGGGGGAATAATTTCTGAAGGTATGTGTGCTCTTCAAGCATCTAAACTTCCTTTTTGTCCCTTAACCTGTAGCATATGCATTAAGTTTTACAATAGATTTTTGCACATTTATTTATCACAATTAGTCCTGATCAGTTCTTGTGCAGAGAGCTCTCTGGTTGTCCATCCGTCTCCTGTAGCTTTAGTTTTGGTTTGCTTCTTGTTTTAAGGTCCAAGGGGCCCCTCTTATTTTCTTCTAGCTCAGAAGTTCACATTCTTTTCACCTTGTTTGAGGCAGTTTTGGGAGCTGCAGGCTGTTGTGAGCACAGGTTTTTTATGAGCACAGCAAATGAACAGACTCTACAGATGAAACAAGTGAAAGCAGCACACTGCACCTCCATCTGGAATGGGTTTCTAACCTCAGTTAATTCCTAACCTCATGTCTCAACACACACACAGCAGGGAGGGTCCAGGCACGGAGTTCCAACGTGCTTTATTGCAGACAGTGCTGAAGGGTCCAGGGGCAGAGACAAGCACAAAGGAGGGTCCAGGGAGTGAATACAGGAGCAGGGAGTCAGGGATCCAGGTCTGGGGGCTCGGGGTGGTACACAGGGAAAGGACTGGCAGTGTTGCAGGGTGGCAGAGATGCTGCAGCCTTCTTTGAGCTGTCTGCTGCAGCAGCTGCTCAGAGCCAGGCCACGGAGCAGCCATTTCAGTCCATGCACACACCCCACAGACAGCTCAGAGGAAGGACAGGAAGGGTCTCTGCATGGCGTGTTCCAGCAAAGGTTTATCCCAAAGCCTGTGAGGGGATCAGGGACACAGCCAGACCTGCGGGGTGTGCACTGTGGGGTGTGCACAGTGCAGGGGCAGTGAGCTGGGGGCACAGGGGCGGGCAGAGGGCAGCAGCCTGCAGGGCATGGGGTCAGTGGCTGGGGTGGCAGGGTCACCTGGCCCTCGGGGAGCCAGGGGGATGGGGGTCAGTGGCTGGGGTGGCAGGGTCACCTGGCCCTCGGGGAGCCAGGCTGCTGTGGGGTGGCAGCAGGGCTGCAGCACCACGGGCTGAGTCCTGTCCATCAGCCCGACTGTGGTGTGTTCTTCCAAGGCAAGGCAGTCCCTGGGCATTCCCCTGAGGGGGAGGATTCCACACAATGGGGGTGCCAGGGTGGCTGGGCAGGGTTACACAAACCAGCGGGGTAACAGGGAACTCTCCAGAACATGAACGTGTAGGGGAGGCCAGTGGCAGGGCAGAACTGGATAAATCACACAGAGCTGCAGAGCACCGTGGGGAAGCCTCCTTCCCCACCCTGAGCTGAGGAGTGCCCAGAGCCTGGGTGCATCTCTCCGGGGCATTGCCCTGCCCTGCCCTGGCAGGCTGATCACGGGGGGCGGGGGGGATGGGGGTCAGTGGCTGGGGTGGCAGGGTCACCTGGCCCTCGGGGAGCCAGGGGGATGGGGGTCAGTGGCTGGGGTGGCAGGGTCACCTGGCCCTCGGGGAGCCAGGCTGCTGTGGGGTGGCAGCAGGGCTGCAGCACCACGGGCTGAGTCCTGTCCATCAGCCCGACTGTGGTGTGTTCTTCCAAGGCAAGGCAGTCCCTGGGCATTCCCCTGAGGGGGAGGATTCCACACAATGGGGGTGCCAGGGTGGCTGGGCAGGGTTACACAAACCAGCGGGGTAACGGGGAACTCTCCAGAACATGAACGTGTAGGGGAGGCCAGTGGCAGGGCAGAACTGGATAAATCACACGGAGCTGCAGAGCACCGTGGGGAAGCCTCCTTCCCCACCCTGAGCTGAGGAGTGCCCAGAGCTGGGTGCATCTCTCCAGGGCATTGCCCTGCCTTCCCTGGCAGGCTGATGGCTCTGCACAGAGCTGGCCCTGCCACAGCCTGCTCCTGCTGGGATCTCAGGAGTTCAGCCAGAGCCCTGCCAGGGGATGTGCTGCTGGCCCTGATGGCAGTTTCAGCCATGGAAGGGCTGTTAGAGCAGGAAATGCAGTCACTAGGGAGAATAAACACGGTGGAGAGGTGCTCAACATGAATTTCTGAGATACAAAAGGTTCTGTTAAACTCTCAGTGCTGGTCACCAACTTGTCCTTAATGTCTCATGCCCTGAGGCTTCCCAGAAGATTTTTCCAGAGTACTTGGGTGACAATTGGGAAGAACTTGACTGGTTTTGGGAATTGTATTTTTAGGCTGCTGGTGGAGTCTCCTGACGTTTTCATTTTTTTTTTTTTTGTCTCTTAAATTCCTGCCACTCTTCACAACGTCACAATTAAATGTTTAAAAATATTTCCCTTACTCATCACTGTTGTTGTTGTGGGGACTGATCATTCTCCCTCATAAGGGTTTAATTTAGAAAATTCAGAATATCTGCTCAGAATCCCAGCTGATGTATTCACATCATTGTGTATGTAAACTGTGAGTAACTCAGTTCCTGGGGACACATTGAGCATTTGGGAGATGGAAAGCATTTGACCTTCCAAAACATGGATGCAGAGCCACAGGGCTTAGGCCAGCAGAAAGGCTCCTTAAAAATGTGTGGTCAGTGGCGGGGGTGGCGGGGTCGGCGGGCCCTCGGGGAGCCAGGGGGATGGGGGTCAGTGGCTGGGGTGGCAGGGTCAGCTGGCCCTCGGGGAGCCAGGCTGCTGTGGGGTGGCAGCAGGGCTGCAGCACCACGGGCTGAGTCCTGTCCATCAGCCCGACTGTGGTGTGTTCTTCCAAGGCAAGGCAGTCCCTGGGCATTCCCCTGAGGGGGAGGATTCCACACAATGGGGGTGCCAGGGTGGCTGGGCAGGGTTACACAAACCAGCGGGGTAACGGGGAACTCTCCAGAACATGAACGTGTAGGGGAGGCCAGTGGCAGGGCAGAACTGGATAAATCACACAGAGCTGCAGAGCACCGTGGGGAAGCCTCCTTCCCCACCCTGAGCTGAGGAGTGCCCAGAGCTGGGTGCATCTCTCCAGGGCATTGCCCTGCCTTCCCTGGCAGGCTGATGGCTCTGCACAGAGCTGGCCCTGCCCAGCTCCTGCTGGGATCTCAGGAGTTCAGCCAGAGCCCTGCCAGGGGATGTGCTGCTGGCCCTGATGGCAGTTTCAGCCATGGAAGGGCTGTTAGAGCAGGAAATGCAGTCACTAGGGAGAATAAACACGGTGGAGAGGTGCTCAACATGAATTTCTGAGATACAAAAGGTTCTGTTAAACTCTCAGTGCTGGTCACCAACTTGTCCTTAATGTCTCATGCCCTGAGGCTTCCCAGAAGATTTTTCCAGAGTACTTGGGTGACAATTGGGAAGAACTTGACTGGTTTTGGGAATTGTATTTTTAGGCTGCTGGTGGAGTCTCCTGACGTTTTCATTTTTTTTTTTTTTGTCTCTTAAATTCCTGCCACTCTTCACAACGTCACAATTAAATGTTTAAAAATATTTCCCTTACTCATCACTGTTGTTGTTGTGGGGACTGATCATTCTCCCTCATAAGGGTTTAATTTAGAAAATTCAGAATATCTGCTCAGAATCCCAGCTGATGTATTCACATCATTGTGTGTGTAAACTGTGAGTAACTCAATTCCTGGGGACACATTGAGCATTTGGGAGATGGAAAGCATTTGACCTTCCAAAACATGGATGCAGAGCCACAGGGCTTAGGCCAGCAGAAAGGCTCCTTAAAAATGTGTGATTGCTGGTAAATAACTGTCCTTTCCATGGAGGGAAACCTGGAAAATGCAACCTGGGCCTTTCAAAAGTGGTGTTTGCTAAAGGCTTGCTAGGGAAGGAATTCTCTTGAAGCTGCCCGAGGTGTTTCCCACAGAAACTCCCCTGAACTCAGCTGCAGTGAGGGGTGCTGCAGCGTTGGCACTGGCTGGGTTTGGCTGCAAACCTGGGCACTGCTGTGGCTGAACCCCAGCTGCCCCTGAGCCCCTGCTCCTTCCCTTCTGAGGGATGTGGGACAGGATGGGAGGGGGAGAGTGGGGAAACCACTGGATTGGGATAGAGACAGGATAACAGGGAAAGGAAAAGCCACACAAACACAGCCAGACAAGGAATTCATTCTCCGCTTGGAGAATCCTGGAATGGGTTGGGTGGGAAGGGACCTTAAATGTCATCCAGTGCCACCCCTGCCATGGCAGGGACACCTCCCACTGCTCCCATTGTCCAGCCTGGCCTTGGGCACTGCCAGGGACCCAGGGGCAGCCACAGCAAATCTGGGAATTCCTGTGCCAGGGCCTTTCCAACCTCCCAGGGAACAGTTCCTTCCCCATATCTGGTATAAACCTGCCCTCCTTCAGCTTCAGACCATCTTCCCTTGTCCCAGGTCCCTCTGCAGCCTCCTTGGAACCCCCTGTAGGCACTGGAGGGACCCTGGAGAGCCCCTGCCCACTCGCCCATCCCCAGGAGAGCTCCATTGTGCCTGATGTGACTTGGGAGGTCAAAGCACCCTCGTTCCAAGTGCTCCCCTTCCTCTTCCCTCAGCTCTGCCTCCTGACCGTGATCTGGGATGCCCCTTGGGTCAGCTGCCATCACCTCCCCTGGCTGTGTCCCTCATTCCTGCAGGAATAAAGGACCATGGATTGGGATGGACAACAGGCACAGGAATTGCCTCAAATCTTCTTTCTCTTCTGTGTTCTTTTAACAGGGACTCAGTGGCTCGTCCCAGCAGAGGGCTTGGAATGCGAGTCGAGGAAGGAAAACCAGTGCAGCGCCACTCCTGGCCCTGGGCCAGCCTGGTTCGAGCCCTGGAGCAGCACAAAGCCTTGGAGAGAGCCCCTGCGGGAGAGGAACTGGGAGGAGCAGCCCAGGCTGGGCCAGGGGGCCGTGACACCCCCGGGGGCTGGCAGGGGGCTGGGGCAGCCCCTGGGCAAGCTCTCGCTGCAGGTGAGGCCACTGAGCCAGGCACTGCTGGGGCTCACAGGGGCACATCCTGGGATCTCGTGGGGGTCTGCCTTTCCCCAGGGTTAAGTTATTTAAGTTATTTCCCCAGTACTTGACTTGGTCTGGAGTTACAGGGGTTAAACCCCTTGGCTGCAGGAACCAGGGGGATGTGGCTGACAGAATGTCCCACCACACTTGTTTCCATGCAGAAACAGTGCTGAAGTGTACATAGGTATGAGATCAAAATGAGTTTTTATTATTCTTTTTTATTATTTTGGGGTTTTTTTCCTTTCTGGCCAGTTTATTTCCACGTTGTTAAACCAGAGGCTCAGAGGCTGCTGGCCTCCGAGCACCTACCCAGCCTTAAGGACAGGAGTTTCATATTGTACCCGATATTGTGAGGGGACTTTTTCCATGCTCTGGGGTTCGTGGTGGATGTTCTGGGTGTCCCCTGCAGCTGCCAGCCCCAGCTTGGCCAGCAGGGTCTGTTTGTGTCCCCTCAGGAGGCCCTGGCCCTGCACCGCCCCGATTTCATCTCGCGCTCGGGGCAGCGCCTGCGGCACCTGCGGCTGCTCCGCGAGGAGAGGAGGCTGCACTCGTCCCAGGGGGAGAGACTGCTGCCCCCCGGGGGGGAGAAACTGCTGCCCCCCGGGGGGGACAGACTGCTGCCACCCCGGGGGGACAGACTGCTGCCACCCCAGCAGCTGCTGCAGCCTGCAGGGAGGAGGAAGGACTGCAGGACTGCAAATCACCTGGTGTCCAGCCGAGGTACTTCAGGGCTCTGCTTTGAATTCTTTCGTTTATGAGCTCTACATTATGCTTCAGGGTGTATTTATTTACTGGGTATTTCTCCTAAAGCCATTACAGTTATTTAACCCTGTTGTCTGTAAGATCTTATAAAGAGTTTTTTGTAAGAACCTCTATAAAACTTACAAAGGACTCCCATTGTTGCTGTAACAAACTCGTTCATCGTTCCCTTATCTCAAAATTTTCTGTTCAGGTTTCCTGATGAGAGAAAAAAGAAGAGCAATTCCCAAGCGTGAGATGTTTCAAAGATCTAAAAGGTAAAGTCCAGGGAATTTTATTTCAGGTGGATCAGTGCCCTGGGTAGGGAAGAGCCATGAATCCTGTCTGCAGTCAAAGAACTGGGTGTGCAAATAATTCAGCTTTTTCAGTGAAAAATGCAGGTGCCTTATCAGGGGGAGAAATGTCCTACTTAGACGTTCCAAGAAACAAAATCATTTTGGAAAATCATTTCTGCAGCTAAAGCTGGGGATTCTGCTGCAGTGTCAGCCATCCACAGCAAACTGGGTCCCACGTGGAGAGGGAATGGGCTGGGGGACACTGGAGCTCACAAATTAACAAAGTGGGTAACTGGGGCAGCAGCAAGGCATTCCCCCAAAGGAAGAGACTTTCTATAGAAATAATCACCCCAAGGGAATACAGAGACTTACCCTTGGAAAAACCACCTTGGGTAGGGTTTGTGTTGTTTTTGACTGCAGTAACTCATCTCTGCAGTGCCCAGCACGCTGCCATGGATTTACCCTTTGGAAGGGCTGTGCTGCACAGGGGTGTGGGAAGGGACAGTAAGAAATGGGAGTTCACTGCAGCTGAGTTTGCTGTGAACGGGGTGGGAAGTGCTGGGCCAGGAGCAGCAGAGCCTGAGTTCCCACGCTGCCATGGATTTACCCTTTGGAAGGGCTGTGCTGCACAGGGGTGTGGGAAGGGACAGTAAGAAATGGGAGTTCACTGCAGCTGAGTTTGCTGTGAACGGGGTGGGAAGTGCTGGGCCAGGAGCAGCAGAGGTGGCAGAGCCTTGGAAACAATCACAGGTTGGTGGGATGAGGCCTGAGCAGCCTGGGCAGCCTTGGAATTAACCCTGCTTTGAGCAGGAGCTTGGTGGCCTCCAGAGGTTTCTGCCAACCTCGGTTTCTCTGGGATTCCACCAAACACCTGCTGCAATACACAGTATATAAAACAAACCCCTTGATGATTTTAAATGACTTCAATGATTTTCATGATACATTTTAATGATTTTTAGCATTTAGAAGTATTCTTAGGGTACCTGGAGAAGGTGTCCCTGCCCATGGCAGGGGTGGCACTGGATGGGCTTTGAGGTCCTTCCAACCCAAACCATTCCAGGATTGAAGGAAAACTTGGGGAAGCATCAGCACAGGAGAAAACAAAGCAGGGCAACACTACTGAAAGCACTGGAATTTTGGAAATGCCTGAAAAGCTTCAGTGAGCTGATTGCTGGGCTGAACTCCTGCCATGGCTGAGGGACATGGGAGTGTCCTGGGCTGGGGACACGGGGGACACTGAGCTCCAGCTGGGTCAGCACGGCACGGCAGAGCTACAGGGGCTGCTCTGAGGAGGTGCTGGGGTGGGAGAGGCATGGCAGGGGCAGGAGAGGCACTGCAGGGGCAGGAGGGGTGTCCCAGGGGCATGAGAGGTGTTCCAGGGCAGGAGGAGTGTCCCAGGGGCAGGAGAGGTGTCCCAGGGGCAGGAGAGGTGTTCCAGGGCAGGAGGAGTGTTTCAGGGGCAGGAGAGGTGTCCCAGGGGCAGGAGAGGCACTGCAGGGGCAGGAGAGGTGTCCCAGGGGCAGGAGAGGTGTCCCAGGGGCAGGAGAGGTGTTCCAGGGCAGGAGAGGTGTCCCAGGGGCAGGAGAGGCACTGCAGGGGCAGGAGAGGTGTCCCAGGGGCAGGAGAGGTGTTCTAGGTGCAGGAACCATCCCAAGGGCAGGAGAGGTGTCCCAGTGGCAGGAATTGCCAGGCTCAGTGCTGCTGGGGATTCCACAGTGGGACACCAGCAAACTGCAAACACATTGGTCAGGGATGTGCTTGGCCAGCAGCCCCTGGGGATGTGGGGATAAAGCACAGGATGTGTGTTGCAGTAAAGCAGATGCAGGAAGAATAAAGCTCACATTAAAATAAAAAAATAAATAAAATATAAATATATGAATATATACAAATATAAATATATAAATATAATAAATAATATAATATATAAAATAAATATACATAAATAAAGCTCATATTTATACAAGTTTTTAAAGATGACATCTTTGACTCTAATTGGTTAGTAACCTTAACACTCAGTCTGTTGGTTAGAAGGTGCTTGTATGTGTTAAGACTTTTTTCTTCAGGTGTTTACATATTTTTCTTTGTAGATCTTATAGGACAGATCTTTTATTATTACTTTTCTTTACAAGAATAAGTTGTTCTGCAAACTTGATTCTCATTGTAATTTTTTCACATAAGAACTTACAAGCTAGCTACTAGTTTAGCTGAAGTAGCAGGACCTAAACCATATTTTATAGGGCTTTTCTTTTACAATATTTCTCCTTGTGTACAGCAGCTGTGGATTTTAGTGCCAGGCAGTTTCAAATCTCTGGTTTTGCCTTTCCTCTCCCTTTAGGATGTACGAGCAGCTCCCCGAGGTGAGGAGGAAGAGGGAGGAGGAGCAGAGGAGGCTGGAGTACAGCTCCTACCGCCTGAGGGCTCAGCTCTACAAAACTGTGAGTGCAGCACCCCTCAGGGCTCAGCCCTATAAAACTGTGAGTGCAGCACCCCTCTGGGCTCACCCTACACACCTGGGAGTGCAGCACCCCTCTGGGCTCAGCCCTATAAAACTGTGAGTGCAGCACCCCTCTGGGCTCACCCTACACACCTGGGAGTGCCCCTGGTCCCTCTGGGCTCACCCTACACACCTGGGAGTGCCCCCTTGTTGAGTGGAGATGGACGAAGACACCTGTTCATGCAGAATAGCCAAATCTCTGTTCACAGCTCATATTTTATAATATTTATATATACATATAAAATAAAATATATATTCTCTATATATTTATATATAGAATAAAATATATATTTGCTATATATTATATATATCTATAATATATAATATTTATATATAGTAAATATATATTATATATTTACATAAATATATAGTATAAATATAATCTACAATATATATCTCTATTATATATTTATAGAATATATTTACATATTATATATTTATAATTATTTATGTAATTATATATTCTAATATATATTCTATTATATAAATATATATTTTATTATATTTGTATGATTATCAGAAGGCACCAAGTCTGGATCTAACTGTTCAGCAGTTCACTCAAGCTCAGCTGACTGGCTGGCAATGGCTTGTGTCCGTGTCCATCAATCCTTTCTCTTTCTAGGTCTGTTCACATTCTTGTCTCCTGGGGAGTGAATGTTTCACAGGGGTAGGATTTTCCTCCCCACAGGCGTGAGCTGTCTTCTCACAAGAATAGATTGTCTTGCTAACTGATTCTCACTATTGTAATTCTTGCCTCACAGTAATGAGGCCAGATTTTAGAAGGCTTTTTTTTATAAGGTTTTACCTGTATGTGACACCCCCTCCCCCTGGAGCACCACATTCCCTCCGGGAGTGCCACACACAGGGATCTGCTGAGGGCTGTCTGTTTGAAAAGCCAGGTGTGTGCTGAGGAAGGCAGGAGCTGCCCTGAAATGGGAAATGGGAACCCCCTCCCTCTGAATTATTGTAATTTGGAAATTAAGGGGCTCTCAGGCAAAGGTATAACAGTTCTTTGCTAGGAGGATGATGGAATTTTGTCAGCCGTGCAGAGACACTCACTGGCCATGACCAGAAGACAATTAATAATTAATGGCCCGTTAACAGAGGATATCTCCCAGAGGGAGGACTGGCTGTGGAAGGGATAAAGAAAATGCCCCATGAACAGAGAAAACTGCCCCAGCTCTGACAGGTGGCAATAAAACACCCCCAGGCACTGCCCCATGAACAGAGAGAACTGCCCCAGCTCTGACAGGTGGCAATGAAACACCCCCAGGCACATCCTACAACCCAGGGCACTGGAGTGCAGGTGCTGGGCTGAGGGGGTGCCCAGGTGTGTTCCATATCACCAGCCAAGCTCTGCTACACCTTTCCTTCCCTGAAATTCTCCCATTCCATGGAAAAATGGCTCGGAAGGTGGTGCTGGTGAATTGATACAAATAAGGGCTTGTGCAGGGCCTGGGGTGGAGCAGAGGGGTGTTGAGCACATCCAGGAAGGACAAGTGTCCTTGAGGCTGCTGGGTTTGCTCTCCTGTGGCCTGGCTGTGGCTGGATTTGGCTCAGGGAATTCCCAGCCAACTTCCCAGCCCTGCCTAACAAAGTCAGGAAAGTTAATTTACCCAGTGTAAAGCTTGCAGTCCTGGTGGCAGGTTACCTCTGAGGGTTCCAGCACTTTCTGTTTGCCCAGCACTGGCCCTGCTCAGCCAGGACCCCTGTCTGGGGAGCTGTGGGATAAACCAGTGTCCCTGAGCACTGGAACTAAAACTGGCCTTTTTTTTAAACTCTGGCTCTTAAACTTGCACTGCAGTTTTAGTGTTAAACTCCTGGCTGGAGCAGCTCCTTTCCTGGAGTATCCAGAGCTGGAGTGATAGGCTTGGCTGTTTGTTGGAAACAGCAGTCATTGGATTTCGGAAGTCAGCACTTGTAGTGTATTCTGCAAAACATCTTCCTACTCTAATTTGGGGAATTTGCCACTAGAAAGACTTTAATTTGTTGCTATACTCGGGCAGGGTATTTTCAGGACATCTTTTTTCCCCAGTCTGAGAATTCCAGATGCTGGTACAGTAAAGACTGAGGAATTAATGAGTTCTGGCAGCCACTGGCTTGGAGTGGAGAGTGGGCTGGAAGCAGGGAGGAAATAGGATCAGAACTCTGGTACATAAATATGGGTTTGATTGGAAGGGAGGTGATGATTCATGGCAGTAAATGATTCCAGTGCTTTAGTTCTCCCTGCTGGTGCAGAAAAGCTGCTGTAAATCAGGGAATGGTTTGGTGAGGATGGGCTGAGAGCACCAGCTTCTGAGTGAGGCTCATTGCCCCTGAAACATCAACCACAGATTTTGTGGAATGGCTCCAAAAATGAGACAGAGCTTTGGGGGCAGGAAGGAGCTGCTCCAGGAGCTCCATGAGGTGTGGGATGGGGCATTCAAGGACTCCCTGTGCCCCAGGCTGCTCCAGGGGTCTGTGCCAGGGCTGGTGTGGAGCAGAGGGGCAGAGCTGCTGCTGCTGGCCCTGGGGAGCCCCGTGAGCCCGCAGGGAGCAGCTCCTTGGCATTTCTGCAGGGAAAACATGGCAGAGGGAGGCACAGCTCTGGGTGGGGCTGGGACAGCCCCTGTGCTCCCTGCCACCACAGGCCTGTCCCAAAAATCAGAGCCATGCAGTCACTCAGCATGGAAAATCCCTCTGAGCCTGTCCAGTCCAACCATCCCTGCTCTGCCAGGGCCACCACTGCCCCTGTCCCCAAGTGCCACAGCCACAGGGCTCTGAAATCCCTCAGGGATGGGCACTCCAACCCTCCCTGGGCACTCCCAGTGCCTGACCCCCTTTCCAAGGGGAAATTCCTCCCAGTGCCCACCCTGAGGCTCCCCTGGGGGCGTTCCCTCTGCTCCTGTCCCTGTTCCTGGAGCAGAGCCCGACCCCCCCGGCTGTCCCCTCCTGGCAGGAGCTGTGCAGAGCCACAAGGGCCCCTGAGCCTCCTTTGCTCCAGGCTGAGCCCCTTCCCAGCTCCCTCAGGGATTCTGCAGCCCCTTCCCAGCTCCCTCAGGGATTCTGCAGCCCCTTCCCAGCTCCCTCAGGGATTCTGCAGCCCCTTCCCAGCTCCCTCAGGGATTCTGCAGCCCCTTCCCAGCTCCCTCAGGGATTCTGCAGCCCCTTCCCCAAGGCTTTGAGGGCTCACAGGGTGAGATTGAAATTAGGGCAAGGAAGCAGTGAATGAATGAATCCCATGCCAGTGGGACCCCTCCCACTGTCCAGGCTGCTCCAAACCCCCGTGCCCAGCCTGGCCTGGGACACTGCCAGGGAGGGACAATCTCAGTGTCCAGGCTGAGGGATGAGATGCAGCTGAGTTCATTTGACTCAAAATAAGACCCCAAATTGGTGAATATATATGACCAAAATCTGCTTCCCTTTTGTAAAGCAGAGGGCAAATGTCCCTGCAGGGCTCTGGGAAGTGAGGGGCTGTCAGGGCTGCTCTCAAGGCATTTCTGTGACAGTTTGGGGCAGCTCACTGAGGGGAAAAGAAAGAAAAAAAAAGTTTTGTTGGCACTGAGTGAGGGGCAAACAATATGGGCCCACCTAGACTGGCCTGGGACACTGCCAGGGAGGGACAATCTCAGTGTCCAGGCTGAGGGATGAGATGCAGCTGAGTTCATTTGACTCAAAATAAGACCCCAAATTGGTGAATATATATGACCAAAATCTGCTTCCCTTTTGTAAAGCAGAGGGCAAATGTCCCTGCAGGGCTCTGGGAAGTGAGGGGCTGTCAGGGCTGCTCTCGGGGCATTTCTGTGACGGTTTGGGGCAGCTCACTGAAGGGAAAAGAAAGAAAAAAAAAAGTTTTGTTGGCACTGAGTGAGGGGCAAACAATATGGGCCCACCTAGAACTGGAGCCATAAAAACCCCTGGGCTGGAGTGCACGAACATTCTTAATCTGTGAAATTGTTCAGTACTTCTCTTGATTAAGATAGCAAAGTTATTTTTATCACAGTGTGCATGTGGATCTGGGCTGATGCTCTGTCCCAGCAGCCCTTTGCTTTTGTGCTTTTAATTTCAAATAGAGCATAAAACCATCCCAGTCAGATCAGGGGACGGGGAGTGCCCTGGAATTTTGCACTCTGTAGTGGGAACCGATTCTGATCTGATGGCAGCAGCAATTAGAACTTTCAGCCCCAGTGAAGCAGAAATGAAATTTCTGAGTTTATCAGATGCAGATTGGTTCCATTCCTGAGGCTCTTCCACAAGGGGGAGCGAGTGTGTGATCCCAGGGAACTGGAGAAAGCTCCTGGGAGGGAGCAGCAGGTCCTGGAAGCTCCCCTCTGCCCCGTGAGGCCGAGCCCAGCCCTGAGGAGCCTTTATTTCTGTGGGTCTGGGAATGCCCTGCCCCAGGCAGGCACAGCACGGGGTGTCCCTGCCCTCGGGGAGAGCAGCAGCTCTGGGAGCCCCTGGGGAGCCCTCTGGAATCACCCACTGCCACCCCACACAGCTCCAGGGGCTCCTGCTCAGGACCCTGCCCTGGAACAGGGCCAGGGCCAGCTCTGCTCCTGGCCTCCCCCATGGGAATGTCCTGGTGCCAGGCTGCACAGGGAGGTCCTGGAGCTCTCACTGGGCAGCTGCCGAGCTGACAGCTCATCCTGACAGTTCAAATCCCCATTTTGTGCTGCTTACTGCCCCTGAGGCCAGGCTGGATGGGGTTTGGGGCTGCCTGGATCAGGGGGAGGTGTCCCTGCCCTCAGGGGTGGCACTGGGTGGGCTGGAAGGGCCCTTCCAGCCAAACCCCTCTGGGACTCCACAGCCATCTGTGCAGAGAACCTGTGCTCAGCATTTTCAGCTTTCAGAGCACTAACTGCCCTGTGTCCCTCTGCTTTTCCCTCAGAAGATCACCAGCCGTGTCCTGGGGAAGAAGGTGTCCTGGAGCTGACCTCGGCCAGGCTGGGCTGAGCACACAGCAGCTGCAGCAGGGAGAAGGCAGAAAATGCTCCTGCAGCCCCACTTGGTGCTCTGGGTCACTGCTGTGCCCATTGATCCTGCCTGTGTAAGAACCAGGGACCGGGGGAGTGTCAGGGTTTAAATAAATAGCTGGGCTTTTATACTGGTGTTAGGCACTTCCAGAGGAAACAGAGTCTGGAAAAACTTGCTTCATAATATATTTATAACTCCCTGATTGGAATAGCAGTTTTATATATTTATTTTCACTGGGTTTTAATGAGGATTTTTTTTATTTTTTTAATTCCTGTCTCAATGTAGAAAAGTCACTTGTTATGTTTTGTACCTCAATAAAACAGCAGAGTTGTAATAACTGCTGCAGCTGTGTCTGTGCAGGGACCAGGAGGGCTGAGCAGAGACACCTCTGGTGGTGCTGGAGCTTTCAGGCCTTTCCTGGGAGACTCCCCTTCTCCAGATGGTTTGTCCTGCCAGGGTCCCTGGCTGTGCCCTGGGCCAGCATCACTGAAAAGATGCAGGGGAGAGAGGAGGTTTATGAAATGCTCAAGTCTCAGTTTCATCTCATCGTCACTGGGCAGTTCATAGGATGGATAAACAGGAAAAGACAGCTGAGGAAAACAGAGTGGGTGTGAGCTGTGGCTTCCTATTGCTCTGCCTCAGATGTTTGTGGCAATTCAGCTGGGAGGGAACACCCAGTGCTGGGAGGGCTGGCTGGGCACCACTGGAGGTGGAAGGTTCTGGAGAGCCCCTGCAGGGGCTCCAGGAGAGCTGCAGAGGGGCTGGGGACAAGGGACAGAGGGACAGGACACAGGGAATGGCTGCCACTGGCCAAGGGGAGATTGGGCTGGGATCTTGGCAAGGAATTGCTGCCTGGGAGGGTGGGCAGGGGCTGGGCTGGAATTGCCAGAGCAGCTGTGGCTGCCCCTGCATCCCTGGCAGTGTCCCAGGCCAGGCTGGATCCACCTGGGACAGTGGGAGCTGTCCCTGCCATGGCAGGGTGGCACTGGTGGCATTTAAGGTCCCTTCCAACCCAAACCATTCCAGATTCCCTGATCTGGTCTGGTCTCTGTAGTGGAAGTTAAAGTGCAGATTCCAAACAACACCATCCCGTGGCTGGGATAAATCAGATAAATCAGCTCAGACCGTGGATCCTCTTCCCAGACCTTCCCACCTCCCCAAACCCAGTTTTACCTGTTTATCAGAGCATCAGCCTGCTTTGGGCTGAAGGGATCCAGTGCCACCCTGCCCTGTCCAGCCTGCCTTGAGCTGCAGTTTGCTCCTTCCACTGCCTGGGGATCAGGGGTGGAATTGCTGCCTTGCCTCTGGAATTTTGTTCTGGGGCTGGAAATGAGCTTTGTGTGAAGGAGGAGGTGCTGAGCGTGCTGGGGCTGAGCTCTGGTGGATTCTGAGGCACACAGGACAGATTTGTCCCCTGGGAGAGGAGGCTGGGGGTGCTGGAGCCCTAACGAGCTCCTGCCTCGCTTGGAGCTCGCTCAAGGCCACTCAGCTGATGATTTGTGCTTTTAAGCTTCAGTGAGGAGATAGGAAGGGAACTGGGGGGCCTTGCTGCTCCCAAATCCCTCTGAGATCAAGCCCAGTGTTCCCCCAGCACTGCCAGGGCCACCCCTGAGTGTCCCCAGTGCCACCTGCACAGGGCTGTGAAATCCCTCCGAGGATGGGCACGCCAGGGCTGCACAAACCTTTGGGGGATGCAATTTCCCCCCAGAGCTGGTGGGGGTGCTCCCATCCATCCTGCCCTGCTGTCTCCCTGGGGATGCTCCCTGCCCTGCTCCAGGGCCCTTCCCTGCCCTCAGGTGGGTGCAGCTCCTGTGCCTGCACAGCTCCCATTTACAGCTCTGGGGAAGCAGGCTGTTGACATTTGCAGGCACTGCTTCCAGCAGGCCAAACTGCTTTCCAAACACTCAGGAAATTGTGCTTGTCTTGTGCTGGTTCCAGAGTGGAGTCATCCCCTGCAAATCTACTGTACACAGAGACTTTTAGGGTAAATTCTGCAGAGCTCTGGAAGGGAAATTAGGGCAGGACTGGTTTTTTTCAGCACTGTCGGAGCAGGTTTGTGTTTTCAGTCATTCAGAATTGTCCTTTGATCAGCAGCACCCCCCAGGGACTGCTGTGCAGGACAGATGTGTGTGTCATGTGTCCACAGCCTGACCTGCAGCTGGGAAACCTCCTGGATGAGATGGAAAAGGAGGAAATGGAAAAGAGGTGTGAAAATCCATCTTCTGCTTTGAAATGTGCTTTATTTCAAAATAAGAGGCTTTTTCCCCCTTCAGAAACACATTCAATTTCTTCCTTTATGACAATTTCCACTCATTCTTCTTTGTGCTGTAAATTCCATTCTGAGGGAATCAGTCCTGACCCTCCTCTCTGGGGGGGCAGCCCTGTGAGGGTTTTTGGGGTCCTTCCCATGGAGAACCCCTCTCCAGCAGGTGTGGGTGTTTCTGAACCCCTCTCCTGCAGGTGTGGGTGTTTGGGTGTTTCTGAACCCCTCTCCTGCAGGTTTGGATGTTTCTGAACCCCCTCTCCTGCAGGTTTGGGTGTTTCTGGACCCCTCTCCAGCAGCTCTGGGTGTTTCTGAACCCCTCTCCAGCAGCTCTGGGTGTTTCTGGACCCCTCTCCTGCAGGTTTGGGTGTTTGGGTGTTTCTGAACCCCTCTCCAGCAGGTTTGGGTGTTCCTGACCCCCCTCCCCTGGAGAACCCTGTCCAGCAGGGCTGAGGGGCTGGGGTGGTGTCTGGCTCTGTCACTGCTGGGTCTGGAAGGGTTTCCGTGGCAATGCAGTGCAGTGCTGCTGTGAAACACGGCTCAAGTGCCTGATTTCCTTGGAGAAGGAAGTGCCCAGCTCTGTGGTCACGTTGCTGTCCCCCTGCCTGGGCATGGCCTGTCCAGCGTGGCTGCCTGCTGGGACTCTACCCGGGTTTCTCTTGGCCCGTTTGCTTTGTCACTGAGAGCACCACGGGAAGGCTTTGGAGAGGAGAAGGTGAAGGATTTGTGCCAAAGCAGGTGAGGAAACCTCTTCCAGAATTCCAGGATGGTTTGGATTGCCAGGGACCTTAACGACCACGCAGGCCCACCCCTGCACTGGCACCTGAAGTTAGATGGATGATGGGCTTTGTGTCAGCCCTCGCCAAAGTCCATCTCATTTTTTCCATGAATGCATCCTGGATTATAATTCACTTTTCCTGAAACAATTCCCTGAGGAAGACATGACTTCCTGACTGGCTGTTCATTAGTGCAGATCCCACTTTAATCCAGTGAAGCAGATTTAAAATATTGTTTCCTTTGTGCTGCCTCTGTGAGCCCGTGACTGCTCTTGGGGCCAGCTGAAGTCAGCGCTGGGCCGGGGCAGCAGTTCAGCCTGGGGCAGGAATCTGGCTGCAAATGGGAAAGGCCCGACTCTTTCACACGAGCAAGGTTTCAAAGTCAAGCTTTTAGTAATATTTTTCTCCCTACATCAGCAGATAAAGTGAATTCTCCCAGCCAAATGGGACCCTGCGGGAGGGTGAGCGACCTCGGCGTGACAAATGGGAGCCACGCTGATTAATGCTGCTGGAAGGAGCTCAGATTCCAGGGGGATGAGGACACTTGTGAGGGCCTGCCTGGGGACAAGGGGGTTTTCAAATCCCATTTTATTCATGTGCCCACGTGCTGCTGCCCTGCTGCTTCAACAGAGGCTCCTTCCAACTTCCCAAAGCCAGAAGCATTCCAAGCTGTTCTCCCCAGGCTGTGCTGCTCCCCCAGCTGGGATGGGTTCAGAACATCCCATGAATTGTCCTGCTGGCTCCTGGCTCCTGACTCACCCACTGAGCAGCCAGCCCTGACCTTCCTCCGGCCAGGGAAGAGCCCCTGGGAGTGACCGAGGAGGGGACGCAGCTGAGGAGTTCTGTGACATCACTGAGCTGTGCCTGGGATGGCACTGGTGGCACATCTGCTCTGGGGACACTCATCTGAGTGCCAGGGCTTGTATGAGGAGATGTCTGACTGGAGAAGGGACACGTGGCCAGGGCAGGAATGGAGCTGGGAAGGGCTGGAGAATCCCTGAGGGAGCTGGGAAGGGGCTGCAGAATCCCTGAGGGGGCTGGGAAGGGGCTGGGGAATCCCTGAGGGAGCTGGGAAGGGGCTGCAGAATCCCTGAGGGAGTGGGAAGGGGCTGCAGAATCCCTGAGGGAGCTGGGAAGGGGCTCAGCCTGGAGCAAAGGAGGCTCAGGGGCCCTTGTGGCTCTGCACAGCTCCTGCCAGGAGGGGACAGCCGGGGGGGTCGGGCTCTGCTCCAGGGAACAGGGACAGGAGCAGAGGGAACGGCCTCAGGGTGGGCCTGGGGTGTTGGTTGGATATTGGGGAAATTTCCTCATGGAAAAGGTGCTTGGGAAGGGGCTTCCCAGGGCAATGGTGCAGTCCCCATCCCTGGAAGTGTCCAGAGAAGTCCTGGAGGTGGCACTCAGAGCTCTGGGCTGGTGACAAGGTGGGGATTGGGCAGAGCTGGGACTTGGTGATCCTGGAGCTTTTCCCACCCCAACAATCCCCTGATTCTGTGTGTCACACCTGAGGGTGTCCCTTGCAGGTTAGGGGTGCTGGAGATTGAGCTGAGGAAGCCCCAGGCTGTGGCTGCCCGGGGCCACCCTCCTGTGCCTGTGTCCATGGCTGGGGACAGGGAGTGCCTGGGAGGGGGAGCAGCCTGCAGCCAGAGCCCCCTCTCCTGTCTGTGACCCCAGCTCAGGGTGACCCCAGCTCAGGGTGACCCCAGCCCTGTGTGACCCCAGCCCTGTGTGACCCCAGCTCAGGGTGACCCCAGCTCTGTGTGACCCCAGCTCTGTGTGACCCCAGCCCTGTGTGACCCCAGCCCTGTGTGACCCCAGCTCTGTGTGACCCCAGCTCAGGGTGACCCCAGCCCTGTGTGACCCCAGCCCTGTGTGACCCCAGCTCAGGGTGACCCCAGCCCTGTGTGACCCCAGCCCTGGGTGACCCCAGCCCTGTGTGACCCCAGCACTCCCCACGTGCTGCCCTGGCCTCACTCCCCTCTCCCGGGCTGGTGCAGCTGCTGGCGGTGCTGGTGGCAGGGACAGGGCCAGCGCCTGCTCCTGCCCACAAAAGGCCTTTTATAACTGCAGCAGCCCCAGCTGCTGCTCCCAGCCCGGGCAGGGCCTGTCCCACAGCCCGCTGACATTCCCGGGGGAGCAGAGGCACTCCGGCCCGCCCGAGGGAGGGCAGTGAGGAGAAATGTCCCAGGCTGTGGGGCAGCAGTGAGGCCATGCTCTGCTGGGGACACCAGACCTGTGTGTGCCCTGGGGTCTGTCCTGGCTGTGCCCTGGGGTCTGTCCTGTCTGTCC